CCCACCGGGTCACCCTGCAGCACAGGAGGGGGTGGCAGAGCTGTGGGTGCCCGCCCTGCTGCTCCGCTCTTGGGTTGGAGGCTGGACCCGCGGGGTCCCGCTCTGTGCGGGCACCCAGACCCACCCGGAGAGCAGGGACAGAGAAGGGGGGTGGGAGCTGCCCCGGGGGTGTTGTGCTGCAGTAGATGTACCCAAACCCCACATCCCAGCGGTGCCAAACCCCACAGAGTCAGAAGCACTCGGGGAAAACCCAAGGAGCGTGGAGCGGGTTAATGCTGAGAGGGGAGCCAAGAGAACAGCTGCGGGTGCGGGTGCCAGGACTGGCACTGCCTGGCGCTGGGTCACTGTCCCTGCTCGCTGGCACCGGCTGTCCCGGGGAGCTGCCGGGGTGAGCTGAGCCTGGTCCTTCTTCCCTTTTCAGTTAAAACTCCAGAAATTCCTGGAACATCTTTCAAAGGAAGTGGAGGATGTGAAGAAGCATGAGTCAGTGGAAAGAATGAAAACCCAGGAATGCAAGGCAGGTGCCTGGCTTAATTCTTAACGCATGAGCTTCTCAGAGATCAGCAACTAAAAAACCAACTCTGAATCCTCTTCTCAGGGGCCGTGAATTCTGCATTGTCCTCAGGATGGGACACATCCCCGTGTCCTACTGACCTGTAGAGGGTTGGTGCTGATCACAGGCTCAGTGATCACAAAAAATTTCAAAACTATTGCAAGGAAAAGCTGGGCACAGGGCAGCACACCAGCCCCCCCGAGCACGAGGAGCCAGTTAAACAGATGTTTATATATATGTATATATTCTTTCTATCTTTATATCCTTTTTTGTTTTTACAATGTGTTTGGCTTATGAATGAGCAGTGCAGTGTGCTCTGCTCCACAGCAATGGGAACCAGGAGTGGTTTTATTATGAAAAAGGAAAGGAAAAGGAAAAATAAAAAAAAAAGAAAAAGCAAAAGCCAAATTACTGCACCTCTGCCTGACTCCAGGCAGTCCCAGGGAGGTTTGACACCAGCACCATGGCTGCGTTTCAAGTTCCTCCACGCTGGAAAGTAAAAGTAACTGCAGAAAATGAAACGAAACTGCTGGTTGGATTTATCCTCCCTGAGCTAGAGCTGGTGATTAATCAGCTTGAGCAGAGAAAACAGTTTCTCTGGACTCCCCTAGCTATATGCTCAGCTCCCCAGCCCTGCTCACTGCAGCCTAGACAAATGTGTAGTGGGGTTTTTGGGGTGCCCCTGCCTGCCCCTTGGCGCTGGAGGTTGTGAAGGACCCATGTCAGTCTCCCCTCTGTTCCTGAGTTAGGGGTCATGGTTTGGCTGCTTCCAGCTTCCTCCTGGCCCAGAAGCTGGTTGTTCTTTTTCAGGAAAAAGGGAAAAAATGTCATTTGCAGGTTGCCAGGGTATGGGGGCTGTGACAGTCCTGGCTTATCAAGCCTTTGTGACTCAGTTCCAAGAAATCACATGCTTGGACAGGAAAAAATAAGGGAAAAAAAAAACCACCACAACACAACAGTTCAGTTTCGTTTCATTTCTCTTCTGCATCTTGGGGATTCACGGTCCTGTCTCCTGGTACTTCCAGCAAAGGGCCAATTTTTCATGCTGTGGTGAAATCCCCTAAAGCTCTGACAGGCCCTCCCTGTTGCAGGCTGTAGGGTGAGCTCTTGGGCACCTGGGGTGTCATAGAATCATAGAATGGTTTGGGTTGAAAGAGACCTTAGAGATCACCTAGTTCCACCCCCTCTGCAGGGGCAGGGCCACCTCCCACCAGCCCAGGTTCCTCCAAGCCCCATCCACCCTGCCCTTCAACCCCCCCAGGGATGGGGCAGCCACAGCTTCCCTGGGCAACCTGGGCCAGGGTCTCACCACCCTCACAGCAAAGAATTTTTTCCTAATGTCCACCCTGAATCTCCCCTCTTTAAGCTTCAGACCATTGCCCCTTGTCCTCTCACTGCACACCTGTGTAAAAAGCCCTACCTCAGCTTTCTTTTAGGGCCCCTTCAGATACTGGAAAGTTGCTATAAGGTCACCATGAAGCCTCCTCTTCTCCCGACTGAACAACTTCAACTTCCTTAGCCTGTCCTCATAGGGGAGATGCTCCAGTCCTCTGATCACCTTCGTGGCCTCTTCTGGTCATACTGGAGGAGTGTCACCCCTGGCTCCCCCTTCCCATCCCTCCCTCAGCCTGGACACTTCTTTCACCTCTTTCTGTTTGCTGTGAATTTCTCCAGTTTTCCTCCAGGCTGTTGTACCACATCCAGTAACAAACATCTGATGGCATCTCCTTGCAGCCTCCGTGCTGCCCTGAGACATCATTATACATGTGCTACTGATGGTAACTGGTGGTGTTGAGGGGGAGCTCAGGAGTTATAGACATGCAGCAGCAGAGCCTCTGGCTGTTGTTTTTTTTTAAAAAATGTGGTGTTTTCCCAGAACCTGGTGTGGGGTGTGGATGCTGGAGCACCTAGCCCTGTCTCAGCTGCCTGGCTAACGTTGACTTTCCTCACCTCATGTGTCTTCTTATGGCAAGGACACAGTGAAGAAGAAGCGGGAGAGGATTGTGAGCGAGTTTGGGAAGCTGCATCGGCTGCTGGCTGATGAGGAGAAGCTGCTGCTCCAGAAGCTGGAGGAGGAGGAGAAGCAGATTCTGCTGATGATCACTGAAAACCTGACCAGGCTGATGGAGCAGAAGATCGTGCTGGAGGAGCTGATCTTGGAGATAAAGAAGAAGACCCAGCAGCCGGCTGACACACTGCTCAAGGTCAGGCTTTGCCACCAGCACCACTAACCCCAACCTTTGCTGTCTGAGCAGGTGGCCAGGGCCAGGCTGGCTGGTGGTCGCCAGGTTCTGGAGCCCCACACCCAGAAGGCTTTTTATTTTCTTTCTCTAGGATATGAAGAGCATCCTGAGCAGGTAGGTGCCCCTCCTTGTTCCTCCTACCAGCTTGGCTGCCTCCTGGCTCTAAGTGAGCTGTTCAGGTCTGCTCCATGCCAGTCTGCTCCATGCCAGCCCCACCTGATCCACCCTGCCCAGCATCTCGCTGAGGATGACAAAGTGTCTGACAGCAGCAGGGGCTGGCAGAAGAGACTCTATCCTCTTCTCCCAGGACCCCAGAGCCAAGGCCTTTCTTGGCCTTGTGGTAAGGTGAGATGCTGGATGTAGCCCATGGGAATTGTTCTCCTTTCAGGTGTGAGGAGGTGAAGTTCCAGTCCCCCAAGCCTGTGTCTGTGACCCTGAAGGAAAACTATAGCATCCCTGAGCACTGCCTGGGCATGAGAGACATGCTGAAGAAGTTCAGAGGTGAGGGGGCTACTTTTGTGCCAGGTCCTGGCACTTTTAGGCTCTGGTCCCCCTCAACCATAGCCTCGAGCAAGGGGAGTTTTCTTCAACAAGCTTTGTCCAGTTGTTCCCAATTTGTGTCCTGATGAGTTCTGGCTGGTTTCATGCTGGGGAAATCTTCCTCCTTCTGATCTTGGATGGGTTGCAAGGCAACCCTGAAAGCGTAGGAGGTCACTCAGGAGTTTCAGGCTCCTTGTTGCCCACCAGCTCTTGCTTTCAGCGTTGGCTGCTTCTGAATCTGTCCTTCCACCTTTCTCTCACTCAGTGGACGTGACTCTGGACCCTGAGACGGCGCACCCCGAGCTTGCCCTGTCCGAGGACCGCAAGAGCGTGCGGCGTGGCAGCAAGAGGCTCTTTCTCTCTCTCTTCGACAGCCCCAAGAGGTTCAGTGCCGTGCCGGTGGTGCTGGGTGCTCAGAGCTTCTTCTCAGGCCGCCACTACTGGGAGGTGCAGGTGGGAGACAAGCCCGAGTGGGGCCTGGGGCTGTGCCTGGAGTCTGCGAGCCGGAAAGGCAACGTCCTCTTCTCCCCAAGTAATGGCTACTGGGTGCTGCGGCTGCAGAATGGGGGCAGCTATGAGGCCCTCACATCACCCGTGTCCCCCCTGACCCTGGGTGTGAGGCCCCGGCGCATTGGGATCTTCCTGGACTACCAGGCAGGAGAAATCTCCTTTTACAATGTGAGCGACCACTCCCACATTTACACCTTTACTGACAAGTTTTCGGGGAAGCTCCGGCCTTTCTTCTACCTGGGTTCCTTTTTGGGGGGCAGAAACGTAGAGCCCTTAGTGATCTCCTGGGTCAGGGACACGCAGGAGACTGGGTGCATCATCCTGTGACTTCTCACAAGTGGGCAGAGACCTGGGAGCCCAACTGGTTCCTGCTGTGAGCAGGGCAGCACCAGGGAAATAGCTGGGTGCCTTGGTGAGCATCATGGCAGGGTCTCCATGTGTGGGTCTAAAACAACTGCCCACTGCCAACTGACGACCACCATCTGCTGACCCATGTGCAGTTGTCCCACTGTAGAAGTGTCCAGCAGCCAGTTGTCGGTGGCCAGTTGTCCCTTTCCCCTTGCATGCTCCTGGCTACTTGGGGTGACCCACCAAGTGTGACATCCATGCAGTGCCATGCCTGTGCTGGGAAGGGCACTTTGCAGTGGGGATGTGTCACAATCTACTGCACTGCTGACAGGGACAGGGGAACCCAGTGGCAACCATTGTGCTGCCACTCACCTCATGAGCTGCTGGAGAAGGTTCTGCTTTTGGTATGAATTACACTGAAACAAGGCAATAAAGGGTTGATTTGGGGAGCTTTGTGTGGTCAGTAGTGTGGTTCTGTGGTGCACCCATTCCAACTCATCAACCTCAGCTTATCCCTGGCATCTTAGAGGGTTGTTGCTGGGCTGGGCCCTCTCTGGCCCAAAGAGGGTCCTGGAGAGATCTTACTGTGGCACCAGTGGGACGTGGCAGCACCTGCCAAGCTGTAACTGGGTAACAGCAGCTGCCTGTGTCCTTGGCCGTGCCTCATCCTCAGGGTGCTGGGGTCTGGGGTGAAGGCAAGGGGTCATCTCTATGGGTGTGGGTGCTTCACTGCCTGGTGGTTCCTGGGCTGCTCCCTCTCTTCCCCTAGCAGGGAGATCATCTCCAGACTTGGTAGCTCCACCTCCCCTCCCCAGCCCCATGGGCTGGAAGTCTCCAAGTATGGGGAGTGGTGAATTACCCACTGCAGGATGGGGACACTTTGGGGGCTGATGTCTCCAAAAGTCACCTCTGCTATTTGGTCTCTTCATGCCCTGCACAAGGCAGGGCAGACTTCAGACAAAAAGAATGAAGCTGCTTCATTGAAAGACTGTTTCAACTTGAATAAAATAAGATATGATAAAGCAAGATCTCAAATAATGAGCACAGGTTCTCTGGGGATGTCCTGGATGATACTTTAGGAGGCTCCTAGTGAAAAATGATCCTGGACTTCAGGTAGCAGTTCCTGTCAGCTGAGTGTTGTTCTATTTTGGGGGTTCCTACCCTTCTCCCTTCAGCTCCAGTCTTCTTCTTTTGGAGGCTGCGTGGCAGAGAGGACAGCCCAGCTGGAAGAGCCTCACGGCTTTCTCATGGCTCAGGAAGGAGAAGAGCAATGGTTGGCTCTGCAGCTCATTGACCTCCATGGAGATCTTACAGATGGAGTTTATGGAGAAGATAAGAAAGGACATGAGCTTTGAGGTCTTGACCAAGGGCTGGGAGCAGAGGCAGTTGTGGGGGGAGTGATGAGGACAGTCAGGGAAGCCTGTTGCTCAGGGTGGCTGTTGGGCAGGGACCAGGCTAAATGTCACTGAATAGGGGGTAGGAGAAGGTGGTGGGATGGAAACTGTCCAGAAAGTGAGAGTAATCTGACCGTGCATGGCAAGGTGACAGATGAGTGGCACTTGCTGCAGCACCAGAGGGATGAAGAGCATTTCCAGAAGAGGCAGGAGGAAATGCAACACTTTGCAGGTCTTGCGAATAGGGGGAAGAGATGAATGAGCAGGAAGGATGTGAACTCACCCAAATGCAGCATCCAAAGCATTCCTAGAAATCATGAATCTGCCTGTTGCAGGAAGGAGGGTAAAGGTTGAAGGAATGAAATAGCTCTGAATAAGCTGTAAAATTTTCCATCTGGTTGACTCCCAGCATCTAAGAAACTGCTTGGGACAGCGACCAGTCTGCCCTGAGATGGCCAGACTGGGTGGCCATGGGCAGCTGGAGGAAAGCTGGGACTTGACTTTCACACCTCCCTGCTGACTTCAAGCTGAAGCTTTTCCCAAAGCTGTTTCCAAGCAGGTTTCTGCATAAGTCATGACAAGTCGACCTTGCCCCTGTTCCATGGAGGATTTTATTGCCTGGCCAAGTCCTGCTTGGCCCACCCACCTCAACCAGAGGGATGGCTGCAGCATGGTCCAACCTGAGCACATGGGTTAGATGCACAAGTGCTCCTGCTCCCCAGCTCCATCAAGCTGGTGGCCCTCACATGGCATCGTGAGGTTGTGACCAAAGGGGCTGACCCGTCTGTGCCAGGCTGACCTCAGTCACACCAGTTCCATCTGACTTCCATGTGCTGAAGGGAGATGGGCATCACACAGGCATCTACACATGCTTGGCAGGGACGTTTTGTGTTGAGACAGTCTCCTGCTGTGGGGGGTCCCTGGGCTGATCTGCTCAAGGTGCCTGGTTCTACTGAGGGCAGTGATCCCTCAGGATACCATGTCCAGCAGGACAGCCGTGGGCTGGTGCTGGTCACTGGGAGCTGATGTTCTGAGCACTCAGTAGATTAATGTTACAGTTTTAGGCTCTGGCTCCGGGGGCAGTTTAGTCACCCAGGGGCACTGACAGTGTCCCCTGTAGAGCAGCCAAACTTTACAGACCAGCAGTTTTAGAAATGTGCTTTCTCAACAAATGTCAACATCTTTCTTCCCCTTCTAGTACAGTGGAAACGCTTTGTCATCCATCTCAGGGGATGTGAGCAGCCGTCTGCATCTTTCTAAGAACTGAGCAGAAATTGTCTTCACTGCCACCCTGCCCTCTGTTGGCCCTGCCGGAGGTGATAGCGGGTGCTGTTTCTACCTTCTGTGTCTTCCCCAGCCCTGGAAGTCCGGGGTATATTGCTGCTTCAGGAAAACAGGACATGCAAAACCACCTACTTTTGCATCCCTTTTTTTGGGTGCCTACCCCCCAGAAGAGACATGATCCCCCATCTTGGTGTCTCTGGGAAGAGCCTCTTCAGGTGCAGGATGATTTCCCTCTCCCCTGGCTGTTGCTACTTAAAATGCCCACAGAGGTACCAGAGTGATATAAAAAACACACAGAGATGTGCAGGAACATTATACCGATGATGTGATTCTTATCACAGCAATGATTTTATTTTGTTCCCAGCCAGACTTCCCCAGGGTTTTTATTAAAAAGCTACTTTGAGATACATTGCACAAAATAGTCAGCAAATGCCACACTCGGGTTGCAGAACGAGTCTCTTTTTGTAGTCTGCAAATTCTGAAACCTTGGACACCACTGCTCTTGGTTTGGCCTGAATCCAGAGGAAACCCTCTGTAGACCCAACCTTCTTTTTAGGTCTCAGCCTCCCCTTTCTTACCATCTGCTGCCTCCAGCCTGGTGCCCTGTCTCCAGCAGGTACTCCCTGAGCACCCCACAAAGTGGTTTCTGGGAGGGGTGAGCACCATCAGCAGCCCCTGAGCCCCAGGGGTGAGCACTGGGAAATCCTAAGGGTTCCTCCAGGGGCTGCACCACTGGCAGGTTTTCTGGCATCACTCAGCTCCATCAACACCTGCTGCACTTACAGGTATGGCAGATATTCCCTCTGCTCCGCTCTGCTGAGACCCCCCTGCAGGGCTGGGCCCAGTTCTGGGGTCCCCAACACAAGAAGGACATGGGAAGATCCTTGAAGATGATCCAAGGGCTGGAGCAGCTCTGCTCTGGAGACAGGGTGAGAGACTTGGCAGTGTTCAGCCTGAGGGGGCTCCAGGAAAGCTGGGGAGGGACTTTTTAAATGGGCTTGTAGTGAGAGGATGAGGGGCAATGGATTAAAACTGAAAGAGAGGAGATTTAAGTTAGATCTTAGGAAGAAATTCTTTGCTGTGAGGGTGGTGAGAGCCTGGCCCAGGTTGCCCAGAGAAGCTGTGGCTGCCCCATCCCTGGCAGTGTTGAAGGGCAGGTTGGATGGGGCTTGGAGCAGCCTGGGCTGGTGGGAGGTGTCCCTGCCCATGCAGAGGGGTTGGAACTGGATGATCATTCAGGTCCCTTCCAACCCAAACCTTTCCATGATTCCATGATTCTATGAAACGTACCCTCTGCAGTGGGCAGGGTCATCCCTGGCTAATGATGACACGGGTGCTGCAGCCCCTGCCTGCCTGTCCCTGCTCTGGACCACCCACCTCCCTGCCCTCCTCCCCCTCCTTTGCAGAACAGGGGGGCTCAGGAGGTGGCCGGGGATGCCTTCTCCACCTGCCCACGGCTGCCTGGTGTCCCTGGAGGCAGCTGCTGCCCCTGCCCCTTGCTGCTGGGGGCTTTGTTCACACCTTGGTGCCTGGGGGTGGAAGTGAGAGTGAGTTGTGCTCCCTGCTGCACCTTGAGGGCTCCTCTGAGCTGTCACATGTGAGTGGGTGTGAGATCATGAAAGACATGAGCAATGCAGGAGTCCCGGCAGGCTCTTGGAACAGTGACAAGGAGTTCTCTGAGGTGCCTGGGGGAGGTGTCTGGTGTGGGTGGCTTGAACGTGAGTCAGGTTGTTAAGGACGTTGGTGCACAGGGTTGTTTGCAACAGGCCAAGAGTGTGTGGGCTGGATGGTGCTCCCTGGGTGACCCTGCACGGTGATCAGAGCAACCTCAGTGTCAGCAGTGCTGTAGGCTCTGTGTCCTTCAGCCCCAGGGCTGCAGTGGAGATGTCTCCTCACAGGGCAGATCCTGCCCTGGGGCTGGGGCTGGGGACTGGCAGGGGAATAGAGGGGGACTGTGAATCTCTGCACAGGTGTCATCTCCAGAGATGGGCAGGATTTGGAAGCATGGAGAAAACACACCTTGTCTCAGATGAAGGACATGTCTGCTCAGCCTCACATCCCAGGTAAACCAGAGTCTAATGAAATACTTCCAAAAAACTTCCATGATCCTATGATTGCCATGGCAAAGAATTGTAACAGAGGCAAGGATAGAAAGTTCTTACAAAAATATTTATTTCTTAAAATGTAAATTAAATATGACATAAAAATTACAGTTAATTAAATACAGTGAGTCTGGATTTAAAAAAATATATATCTATTAAATAATATTCTCATTTGTCTAGAGTGGAGTTATTGCACCTGATCCCTCCCCTGTGAAAATTAAATAGCAGAACACTGGAGTCAAATTATGGCACATTCTGGATTTCGTGGTTGGCAGGTGGTGTGTCCTGTCGCAGGGCAGCAGGGTGGGCCTGGCACCTCAGTTCAGCTCCAGGTCACTGACGTACTGCTGGACCCAGCTCTGCTCAGGGTCAGCACACACCTCACGGCCCTTCCTCGTGACAAACCTGTGGGGTGCAGAGAGGGATGGTTTTGGTGGGAGAGCATGGTATGGAGAGAAGGAGCCGGGTCCCCAACCCGGCCTCCCACAAGGACCAGCAGGGTCTGGGCACACAGTTTGCTGGGCCATCGCATCAAGCAGCCACCACTTAGTTTGCAAGGTGTTGGAGAAGGATTGATGCTGAGCTCCTGGATGCTGAGCTCATGGAGCATCTGCACCTCATCCCACCATCCCTCCCACCCCCCAGGATGTCTTTTGGAAAGGGATCTTTCCCTCTCAGCTCAAAGGGAGAGCCACCTCCTCCCTGGAGGACACGGAGCACCCTGGTCTCATGAAACGTGTCCCTGTCCATGGCAGCAGGTTGAGTTGGATCTTTCCCAGTTGGTCCCTCCCACCCCAACCCCTTCCATGATCCCCTGGCTGAAGGACTCACACGACAGCGGGCTGGGAGCACTGGCTGTTGGTCTCATAATACTCCACCACGAAGCTGCGGGGCAGCTGCCGGGACGTGTAGCTGAAGCAGCAGGAGGTGGGAGGGTCAGACCCAACTGTGAAGGGCAAGGACAGTCATCAGCAAGCAGGAAGGGGAGCAGGGACAGGGGGCTTGGGGAGCCAGGAGGACATGGAGGAGGAAGAGGGAAGATAAGATCTTTTTTTCTTTTTCCTTTAATTCTTTCTCTTCTGGGTTTACCCTCTGCTGGAGCTGACAAGGTCCATGCCCTGCTTTGAGCTGTGCCTTCCTATGCAGGAGAGCCCCGATGGCCCTGGAGCTCCTGCCAGGGGCTGGTCTGACACAGGAAGGGACCAGGGCTGGAAGGGCTGGCAGAAGGCCCCCTGTCCCGGCAGCAACACGTCTCCTGTCCCCGGCTAGAGAGGACGGGGAGAGGCTGAACTTACGTGGCGCGGCAGAGCTCTGGTGGCAGAGAGCGGCGGCGAGGATGGCGAGGGCAACCACGGGGACCTTCATGTCAGCTGAGGAGTGGTGGCTGGAGCTGAGGCAGGCAAGTGGAGCTCTGAAGCCTCTTCTTTGTCTGGTGCTGAGACAGTCAGCAGCTCCCCAATTTATTGGGTGGGGAGGTCCCTGCGGCAGCTTGCGTAGGCACCGTGGAATTTCCCCCTGAGAAGAGGCTGCTCGTGGTGCAGCCTGTGGTGGAACAGAGCACCAGCCCCAGGAGGACACAGGATACAAAGCGGTCACCGTTGCTATTTCTGCTTCTTTCATGCATGTCCCTCAGAAAGAAGTTCCCCTGTGGAGGTTCCTGTGTGTGTCAACAGGCCCATGTTACACAACCTGCCCAAGCAGCTTGGAGCAGAGAGGGTGTCCTTCCAAGCCCAAGGGTATGGGTGGGATGAAACCAGCCAGGGGAGAAGGGGCTGAAGTCTCCACTGCCCTGGGGTGTTCCTCATGCTGTCCCAGTAGCAGGAATTGGGAGCAGTCACCACCAGGGTCCATGTCCTGCACGTGCTTCATGTAGTCTGAGCAGACCCAGGACGTGTCCTGCAGCCCTGACAGCACCAGCACAGGTACTGGTGGGCAGGACATCTCAGTCATGAGTCCCAGAAGCAAAAGCTTCTGAGTTTCCTCCTCAGTTTAAAGGAAGAGCTGAGATGAGGCATTATCTCCTGGAGGTGCCTCTCATGCTCCAGATCCTGTGAGACCCCAGATGACTAATTTCAGCAGGTACTGACAGGTGAGGCCCATCATTGCTGGACATGGAGATGCAGAGAGCCAAAACAAGTATGGAGACATTGACTGTGACCCTGAAGGTGAGGCAGGAGGGGCTCCAGGAGCAGGGTGAGGAAGAAGACACTGCTTCTGAAGACCAGATTTGGGTTAACTGGAGGATGAGGGCAGAAACTGGGATTTCTGCAAAGAAAAGAGTATCTGGTCTCAGCAGAAAAGACAAAATCGCATGAGGAGGAAGGACCACATTGTATAGGGGAGAGTAAGAGCTCTGCAAAGACTGGGCAAGGGCTGCCACCAGGGATGGCTCATGGGGAAGAAGGGCTGCCATGGAGATCTATCAAACACCTGTCCAGCCCTGAGGAGGAGAGGGAAGGCCTGGCAAGGAGGTGATGGATGCTCTGGGAAATGCTGACAGCTGCCTGTCCCTAAGGAGGTGTTCCTACAAGGACATCTGCCTCAAGAAGCTTTTTTTTTTTTAAGGCCAGGTTGGACAAGATTTTGTGCAACCTGGTCTAGTAGTGGGTTCCCTGCTCATGGCAGGGGGGTTGGAACATGATGATCTTTAAGGTCCCTTCCAACCTTAATGATTCTGTGATTCTAAGAGGGAAGCAGCCATGTTTCTTGGTCAGGTGTCCATGTCAGTATTTTTGACAACACTGAGTGGTGTCTTGGCAGATGCTGCCTGCCAGTCAGTGGAAGGATGATAACGTAAAGGAACTCAACCACACCACCCTGGTTGTGGTGCTGGGCACTGACTCACCATGTTTCTATTAAAGGCTCCTGGCCACAGACCCAGGAACCTTCTGAAAATAACCCAGTGTTTTCCAGATCTCACTCCAGCACTGTGTGGGGAGCACAGCCCTCCAGCAGCCACATCAGGTTGGCAGAAAGGAGTCTGGAGGACAAAGTGGTCCTGGACTTGTCCAGGAGAAGTCCCAGAGGTGGCACATCCACAGGGTGGCTCCTGCTGAGAGCTGTGGTGGTGTTCCTGTCCCTCACCCTGGCTGGAGAAGGTAGATCTACACCATGGAGCAAAGGTGGAGCTGGCCAAGCCAAGCATCACCTCCTTCCTGGCCACACCACGACCAAGCTGTGTCCAGTTATGGTCTCCCCAGTTTATGAAGGGCAAGGAACTACTGAAAGAAGGTCCAGCACAGGCCACAAAGATGTTGAGGGGACTGGAGCATCTACCTGATAAGGAAAGCCTGAGAGAGCTGGGGCTGCTCAGCCTGGAGAAGAGGAGGCTGAGGGGGGATCTCATCAGTGCTTATAAATATCTGCAGGGGGTGTCAGGAGGATGGGACCAAACTCTTCTCAGTAGTTCCCAGTGACAGGACAAGGGGCAATGGGCACAAGCTGGTACAGAGGAGGTTCAAACTAAACATAAGTTTTCCTTTTCCTTATTTACTGTGAGGGTAGCAGCCCTGGGACAGGCTGCCCAGAGAGGTTATGGAGACTCCATCTTTGGAGATATTAAAAACCCATCTGGACGTGTTCCTGTGGGAACTACTGTGGGTGATCCTGCTCTAGCAGGGGGGTTTGGACCAGATGATCTCCAGAGGTCCCTTCCAGCCCCAACCACTCTGTGATTCTGTGACTCTCGTTCCCTCTCCATCTTTTCCTTTGTCATCTCCTCCTTGCAGATTCACCCATCAGTTCAGACCCCTGTACCCCCTCCACTTGTCAGCTTTCCTGTCCCAGCATATACTGGGAGGATGAGGAGAGAACCTGCCTCTGCAGACAGGGCCCCTTGCCAGGCAGGAGGTGGGAACATGGCTTTGGGCCCAATGCTGGACCTGAAATTGGTGCTGAGCTCTGAGCAGGGCCTGGCCCAGCTTCTCTGTCCATCTGTTTGGGGAATGGGACTTGCAGATGGACCTGAGAGCCTGGTTTGCCTCTGAGCTGTTCCTCATGCTGTGTCTTCAGTTATGGGTTGTCTCTTGAGATCTGCCACCCACAGTCCTCTGGCTCTGTCCTGCTCCCCAGGCAGCCCGAGTCGTGGTGCAGGAATGTTCTGATACAACCAAGTTTCATCCAAACACACGAATCAGTTGGAAACCCACAGTGATTATTCAAATCTTTGCAATCAGACACTTTTCAGTTTTGAGCAGCTGAAAACCTCTGGTGCTTTTGTACCTTTGTCAGCAACGGGTGCCAAGTGATGCCGGGCTGTCAGGGAACATTTTTTAATTAATTAGAAAAAAAAAAAATCCTTATTTCAGCTGAGTCAGTTGAAGCTCAGATATGTGTGGTTCCTCTGTGTGACAGGGCTGGGCAAGGGCTGCAACTTTCCTGCTGCTGAAAGACTCAAATAACCCAAAGATCTGGGTGATGTTTCCTGAAGGTCTGGCTTTTCCTTAGAATTCTGACATCCCCTCTCCTCTGCCAGCTCTCTGCAGGCTGGGTAGAGGTGGGAGGCTACAGTCATATTGGTGATACCACAGGATGTTGGAATGTTTCCTTACTCAATGTTTCCTTACTCAATCCAGTCGTGATGAAATGAGAAAGTGGTTTCTTCCAGCCCTTCCCTCTTTCAGAGAGAAGCTGCTGATAAAGAGCCATCTAACCTGGGAGGGGGTCTGAGATGGAGAGACCACCATGGACAGTCCAAGTGGGTTGGAGCATCTGAGGAGGGATTTAGCTTCATAGGACAGCAAAATGGTGGTGTGAGATGGAAGATTTTCCATTGAGGCTCCGGGTGGTTCCAGGATTCATCGAATCCTAGAATCATTTTGGTTGGAAAAGGCCTTTAAGATCATCAAGTCCAGCCATTAACCCAGCACTGCCCAGTCCACCACTAAACCATGTCCCTCAACAGCACATCTACATGGCTTCATGACCCAGCCTGTGCTCTACCCTTGCCCCCCAGCAGCAGACAGTGCTGGGGGCAGCAGGACAGGCCACCAAAGCAGTTTAGGTGATGGTGCATCCGTCCCCACTGAGGGGTAGGATAGAGCAAAACCCCCAGAAAATCCCAGGAGAAAGTGCAAAGTCAAGCAAATGCTCAAAATAAATTCAGTGACAAAAGAAAGAGGGAAATTCTTGATCTTGAATGAAAGGGGGAAAAAGTTGTGAGACTGGCTGATGTCACTTGCTATTTATAGCAGGTTTGAATGCTGAGGAGTCAGGATTCGCTCAGAAAAAGGAAGTACTAAAAATGTCCTGAGTTCAGAAACTACCTCCAGGACCAGCTCCACTGCCACCTCCAGCAGCCTCTGTCCTGCCCTGCTCAGAGCTCAGCCACCACTGACCTTCCATCAGAGGCCAGGAAGCTCAGGCTCAACATTCTTGGTATTTCTGGAGAGATATCGGAATTTCTGAGATGATGTCACGTCCCAGAACTGGCTCCAGTGGGAACCTGAGCAAGTGGGAGTGACTGAGAAGCATCTGTCTCCATCCTGGCTGGGCAGTGGGAGCAAGCACTGGCCACCACCAGCTGTGACTCACCAGAGACCCCATCGTGTTCCCCTGAAATTGTGTCACATCCGGAAGGCATTCGTAGCTGATAAGAAAAATGTGTCTCGTTAAAGGTTCAACCTCCATCCAAGAAGATGGAGAAGATTTTCTGAGAAACTTAACAAAAACCAACCAAAAAAACCAACTCCCTTGGGGAATAAGAAAATTTTCTAACAGTGAAGCCTCACATTTTTCCTGGACTTTCTTTTGAAACAAAGCAAAGAGGATCAAGTGCAGAGTATTTCAAAGCAAATTGAAGTGAACCAAAAAGCCTCCTTGCTGCACACCCTTCTCCATCCTTGGATTGAAAGGAAAGGAAAGAAACAGGGAAAACTTGAGTTGTAGAAATTTTTGAGCCTTAGGAAGCAGCTGTGACCTTGGTCTGCCCCACCTCCTGCTCCAGGGACTGGGGCACCCTGACTTGCACCCCTCCACATCCCCCCAACCCTGTAAATGCCTGAGGGGACCAGATGAAGTGTCTCTGGTGGGGCTGAATCCCCTGCTGGGGCTGAACCCTCTGCCCTGGAGGGCAGCCCACCTCATTCAGATATTTGGTGAGTCCTCCAGAAAGAGCAAGGAAGAGCAGGCTGAAAATGGAGAGCTCTGACAGGATGAAAAAACCCCAAAGGGGTGCTCTGGTGGGACCCCCCTGCAAGGCTGGGCCCAGTTCTGGGGTCCCCAACACAAAAAGGACATGGAGCTGTTGGAGCAAGTCCAGAGGAGACCACAGAGACGATGGGAGGGCTGGAGCAGCTCTGCTCTGGAGCCAGGCTGGGAGAGTTGGGGTGTTCAGCCTGGAGAAGAGAAGGCTCCAGGGAGACCTGAGAGCAGCTTCCAGTGCCTGAAGGGGCTCCAGGAAAGCTGGGGAGGGACTTTGGACAAGGGCAGGAGTGAGAGGACAAGGGGCAATTGCTTAAAACTGGAGGAGGGGAGATTTAGGTTGGATATTAGGAGGAAATTCTTTGCTGTGAGGGTGGTGAGCCCCTGGCCCAGGTTGCCCAGGGAAGCTGTGGCTGCCCCATCCCTGGCAGTGTTGAAGGGCAGGTTGGATGGGGCTTGGAGCAACCTGGGCTGGTGGGAGATGTCCCTGCCCATGCAGGGGGGTTGGGACTGGATGATCTTCAAGGCCCCTTCCAACCCAAACCAGCCGGGGTTTCTATGAGAAAGCTCTGGCTCACAGACACTGTGTCTCTGCCCCAGGTGAAACCACCAGGGTACCCCAAGCCCCACATCCCAGATCTTGCATCCTCTGGTGGGTATATGGCCAAATGGCTAGCAGGAGTGACAGGGACAGGACAGCCTTCACCATCTCCTGCCTTCCTCTGCCCCAGGTATTTACTTTGTGACCTGTGGCTCTAGGCAAGGGTAAGACTTCAAGGGGGCTTGGAGGAGTCTTAAAGCCTTTGGGCTAATCCTTGTCACCTCCTGTCCCAGGGGATGAAGACTCAACACCACTGCAACATCCTTCCCCACAGTCTTCCTCTTCAAATAACCTTAGCTTTCTTTTTCTACCCTGCCTGAACCCAAACAATTCCCATGTCCCCATCTGCATGATGCCAAAATAATTCAAGATGCCTTCTTTCCAGGAATCACAGCGGAAGCTCGAGAGGGGTCAGCTCAGAAATAGTTCAAGTGCAGGAACCATGGCAGCAGAGGCTCTGGGACTGAACAGAGAAGTGAAAACCAGTATACAGAAACAGGAAGCTGGAAACAGGAGCTGGTCCTGGAGGCCAGCAAGGGACAGTGGCTCTGGAGCATCTGGGCTCGTGACCAGTGACTTGAGCCCTGTGGCAGGGGAGTCAGCAGTGCAGGGGAGCTGCTGGGCAGGGGGAGGTGGCCTAGAAAGTAGATTTAGGTGAGATATTAGGGACAAATTATTTGCTGTGAGGGTGGTGAGACCCTGGCCCAGGTTGCCCAGGGAAGCTGTGGCTGCCCCATCCCTGGCAGTGTTGAAGGGCAGGTTGGATGGGGCTTGGAGCAGCCTGGGCTGGTGGGAGGTGTCCCTGCCCATGGCAGGGGTGGAACTGGATGATCTTTAAGGTCCCTTCCAACCCAAACCAGCCTGGGATTCTTTTGTTCTATCTCTGCCCCCTTTGCTGAGGCCTCTCACAGCTCTCAGGGCTGCTGAGAAAGGGCAGTTTTGTAGCTCTGAGGGGTTAGTGCTGATGACACCACAGAGCAAGTGCAGCTGCAGCAGCTTCTGCTCACCCTCCTGCTCCTCATTACCAGGAACTGATGGCTCCTGTCCTTCAACCTACCATCTCAGGGCTTCCAGGCAGAGTTCAGAGCTGCCTGATGCAGGTCTCAGCACATTCACCATCCCAGCTCCCCACCACCTTGCACTGGCCACCAGCCTTCTGGGTTGCTCCTCACCAGTTGCAGGCTGGGGAGCAGAAGCTGTGAAGTTCCCATGAGCAAAGCTGTGTCTGGATGGTGGCAGCCACAGAGTGGAGGTTCTGCAGCCACAACATTTCTCACCCTTCAGCTGCTATTTTGCATTTCCCCTCACATATGCCAGCATGTGAGTTGCAAGCACAGAGGAACAGAAAACTTCCACTGCTGGTTTCTGCATCATTTATTTCCATGGCAAAAAGCCATAATCTGTTGGGGATTTTTTTCAGTCATTCAGCCCAAAGCTGTGGCCACTTCTGTCCACGCAGCACGGCCAGAGCTAGTCCTGCCAGAGCTTGCTAGGAATCTGGGAAATCCAACTCCTTCCCTGACACCTGTGTCAGGACTTAGGGAGGAAATTTGGGATGGGGCCACACAGGGAAGCAGGAGTGCAGAAGACATCCTCTCTATGGGAGGAAGGTGTGTAGAGGAGCAGATCTCACCCCTGTCAGGGGCCTGCTTCGTGGGCTGGCAAAAACCTCGTGAAGCTCAACAAGGAGAAATGCAAAGTCCTGCCCCTACACCCTCAGGCACCAGGATACACTGGTACCCACCAACCTGAAAAGCAGTTTGGCATAAAAGGGCCCAGGGCTCCTGGAGGACAGAAAGCTGGACATGAGCAGCAGTGTCCCTGCAGGTGGGGAGAGGTGACCCTTCCTGACTGCTCAGCACTGGTGAGGTCTCTCCTGGAGTGTTGGGTCCAGTTCTGGGCTCCCCAGTATGAAAGACATATGGACATACTAGAGAGAGTCCAGCAAAGGGCTGCGAAGATGCTTTAAGGGACAGGAGTGTTTCTTCCAGGAGGAGAGGCTGAGAGAGCTGGGTCTGCTCATCCTGGAGAAGAGATGGCTCAGGGGGGTCTGATCAGTGTGTGTGTGTGTGTGTTGAGTAAAGTAGATGGGAGGGGGGGGGCAGTGACAAGACAAGGAGCACAGGAAATTCTATTTAAACACCAAACACTGGAACAGGTTGCCCAGAGAGGCTGTGGAGTCTCCATCCCTGGAGATAATCAAAGCCTGTCTGGACAAGGTCCTGGGCAGCCTTCCCAGGTGTCCTTGCCTTGAACAGGGTCTGGACTGGACGATCTCCAGGAGGTGTTTCCAGCCTCAGCTCTTCAGTGCTCCATGTTACTCCAAAGCACCCCGGGACTGGTGGGAGCTGCAGCTCAGCAATCCCTGGCACAGCAGCACGAGAAAGCTTCAGAGCCTGCTGGGTTTCGTTTTCCAGAGTTGCATAATCCCAGGCAAAACTTGTGTCTTTCTGCTGTACAGACTTGGAGGGAAAAACCCTCCAAGATAAAGCACTTGGCACATTTGAGTTTCCTTTTCATTTGATGAAACCGAAAAGGAGCTCTGAGTCAGAGCGGCTCCAGCGGGAGCCCAATCCCGGTCTCCCTGACCTCTTTTCTTTCTAAATCTCATTCCCTTTGGCTCTTTCACTTTCGTGACATCCTCTGCCATCATTCTGGAATTTCCACTTCAGCATCTCCTGGCTGCCTCCAGGACTCCCTATTAAAAGGGAGCTGAATCCAGCTCCTGCAGTCTGAGCTGCATCTGCCAGAGCTCCCGGTCCTGCTCCCAGTGTCCTCACCCCACGGGAAGATGAAGGTCTCTGCAGCTGTTCTTGCTCTTCTCCTCATTGCAGCCTCTTGCCTTGAAACTTTCTCTGCCCCAGGTGAGTCTTGCTTTTTCATTTGTGAAGAAGAACAGATCTGAGCCTTTTTTAGAATTTCTCCATTGGTAGGTAACTGGGAATTTTGCAGCACTTGTGTCACTCTCCACTCTGCCCTGAGATAATTCTTATAGGAATCCCAGAATTAGAAAATCATCCATCCATCTAGCCAGCCATCCAACCAGCCATCCAGCCATTCTGGCCTCAGAGAACTTATTCCTGGTTACAGTTTAGGGACTTTAGTCTCTGTCCTGGGGCTGGGGGACACGGTGAAAGGAAGATCTGAGCAATGATTGGGTGGGAATTTCACCTACTACCAAACAATGCTGGACCAGATGATCCCAAATGTCCATTTTAACCTTCATTATTCTCTAATTCCTCACTGTTTTCCCCATAAACATGACTCCCTGAGCAGGCATGCTGGCTGCTCCCAAAGCACAGCCCAGCATGTGCTCACATTGTCCCTCCTTGCCTCTTCCAGTTGGACCTGATGTCCGAATCTGCTGCCCCTCTTACATCCACCACAAGATCCCGTGGAAGCTCATCCAGAGTTACTACAGCACCAGCAGCAGCTGCAGCCTGCCAGCCATCATGTAAGCACCAGCCCTGCTCACAGGCATGGGGGGCTGTGGGGGCAGAGCAGGGGGGGGAACCCCAAGGGGATGGGAATGTCCAGGGAGGTTCCTGCAGGAGCTGTGGAGGCAGCCTGGGAAGAGGGATGGGAAGGAAACTCCAGCCAGCTGCTGGTTTCAGCATCAGCTTCAGGCATGGGGGAGAACACCTTGCAGTGCCCCTGAGCTGGGATCCAGGCTCACCTCGGATGCAGGTGCAAGCAGAGACTGATAAGCCTCACCCCTGTTCCACAGGTTCATCACAAAGAAAGGTGTCCAGGTCTGTGCCAACCCCAAGGACCCCTGGGTTCAACATTACCTGGAGAACTTGGAGAAGAACTGAGCAAAGCAGGACAGCAAGCAGAGCTGCTGTCAGGCATGAGCCCTGTCATCCTGAGCTCCCGTGGTGGAGCAGGACACTGGGGCAACAGGAGCTGCACGAGGGCTCCAGGAGCTGCTGGAGGGGCACCAGGGAACACCTCATGCTGGGTGCTGCTGCTTGCCCCTGGCTGGCACTGGCCAGGCTGAAACCTCATCCCTCTGCCCTGACACCTCCACCTGTGGCCTGGGAAGGCCCACAGGACTGCACCTCTATTGTTCTTATATTATTTTAAATTATTTAAGATATTATCATATGGAATAGGCAGCTCTTTCTTCTGTGGATAATAATGGGAGAGTGCCAGGAAGGGTATTTATGGGAGGGTGGCTCAGAGTCTCAGGTGTGGGCAATGGGTGGCCCTGCCTTGTGTGTGTGAAGCTCTGACTCTGGGGAATAAAGAATTTGGACAAAAAATAAACAAACCTCTGATTTTTCCTTTTCTGTGTCTCCATGTGGTGGTTACAGGGCCAGACCCTCACCCTGAGCCCATCTGCACACCCTGCATGGCACGTGGTGATAGGAAATGGTTTGAAGCAAAACCATGAAGTTTCCATACTGCAGATATATGAACCAGCTCCAACACCTCATCCCCCCACCACAGACACCCCCACCTCCCACATCCTCTGCAGAATTAGATGTGTTTGTTTGCACATACAGGCCTTTTACTGACACATTCATGCTCTCCCCACACCCCAGGCACATCCCATGCACTGGCTCATGGCTCCCAGCCCAAGTCACATCCCAAACTGGTCCCTGAGCTTCCTTTCTGACCACCCCAGCAGGGGTTGTTCCTCACTTTCCCACCTGTAAAACAAAGGGAAGGGTTCAGGGGTAAAACAGCCACCAGGAAACAATTCCTTCCCCTCTGCCCTGGTGAAGCCCCATCTGGAATAGTGCATCCAGTTCTGGGCTCCCTAGTTCATGGAAAATAAAGAACTACTGGAAAGAGTCCAGAGCAGGGTCACAAAGATGGTGAGGGGATGGAGCATCTGCCCTGTGAGAAAAGGCTGAGAGAGCTGGGGCTGCTCAGCCTGGAGAAGAGGAGGCTGAGGGGGGATCTCATCAGTGCTTATAAATACCTAAAAGGCAGGTGTCAGGAGGAGACTCTTTTCAGTAGTTCCCAGTGACAGGACAAGGGGCAATGGGCACAAGCTGGAACACAAGAGGTTCATGCTAAACATCAGGAAAAACTGCTTCACTGTGAGGGTGAGAGCCCTGGGACAGGCTGCCCAGAGAGGCTGTGGAGGCTTCTCTGGAGACATTCAAACCCACCGGGACACCATCTTGTGCACCCTGCTCTGGGTGAACCTGCTCTGGCAGGGGGCTCGGACTAGATGATCTCCAGAGGTACCTTCTAACCTGACTGTTTTGGGATTCTGTGAAACCTGCTGCAGTCACTCCCAGGATGAGGTTTGCGTGGCCACATGGATGGGATGGAGCAGCTCCCAAGGGCAAAAGCAAGGGGCTGGACACAGCTTGGCCAGTGCAGTCATGCTCTGCACTCTGCTTCTGCACACAGAGAAGACATGACCCCCAACAGCACGGTCACCTAGGGCTGGCCTGGCCTTGAAGCCATCCTCTCCCAGCTGGTGTTTTGTCTCCCTAACTCATGCGAAATCAAGCGCATTATTTAAAATCTATAATATAAACAAGAATAGTTTTTCCCCTGCAGCTGGAGATGACACTTGGCAGCCCTGGGGCTGGGAAAGCACCTCCATGTCTTGTGATTTCCCTCTAGTCCTGTGTTTTCCAGGCTGGAAAGCTGACTGCGGGCAGGAGGGCTGATGGGGCTCCCAGGGAGCAGCATCCCAGCAAGGAGCAGCCCCAGGCACCAGTTGTGTCCCAGGAGATGGTGCTGGTGATGTGGGGTCCACATGGAGGGCTTCTCTCCAGCTCCATGGGGTTGGCTCCTGACTGCTCTGCTGAACAAAGGCACAGGCTCCCTCACCCCTGGCAAGGTCCCTGCACTCCCCTGGCACAGGGTCCTAGCAGAGTGGGACAAGTCCATGCAGGGACAAGGTGGGCCAGCAAAAATCTTCTCCCAGCCTCACCGTGGTGAGGGAGACACAGAGCCCAGCAGAGGGGGTACCCTGAGCAGGGCTTCCCACTGGGCCATGAAACAGGAGCATAGGGTGGTGGGGTGGATGGACAGGGGCTGCTGCCAGGGCTGGGCAGGTGAGGAGACATGGAAGGAGGTGCTGGGGTCTCCTCAACCCCTGAGGGCATCCCAAGCCTTGTGCCCACTCCACATTCAGTCAGCATTTACATGGAGGAGGAGATTGGTGCTGCAGGAGCCCAAAACAGGCTCTGATGTGGGGTCCAGGCCCTGAGAGGGGTGGAGGGTGGGTGTTGTGGTGAAAGGGAGGACTGGGGGGGTCTGAGGTGTGGTCCAGGTGTGGGCTGCAGGGGACAGGCTGGAGGACTTGGCACTGCAGCTCCAGGCAGTCCCTGGCCAGTAGCCCAGAGCATGTGGGAATTTCCCACTCTGTCCTTTCTGGTTTCAGTTTCCTTCCAGCAGCTCCAAGAGCAGCAGCCAGGCCAGTCTGCTCCAGAACCTCTGCTCCAGGACCCCTGCTCCCCCTGCCCCAGGTCCATCTCCTCTTGCACCGCCTGGGCAGGTCCCTCTGCCTGGGGACCACAGACCCAGCCGGTGTCCCCAGGCCTCCTTGTGCTGCTGTTTGTCTGTGCTGGCCATGGGGATGGAGGAGCAAAGGAGCAATGGTGGCCCAGGGCTGAGCTGCAGATGGAGCAGCCCAGCTACAGCTTCTAACCTACTGCCAGCTCCGGGCTGCAGAGGACAGCCTGGAGGGGCCACTTGGAGCTTCTGCACCCAGGGGATGTATCAGCCACACTTGATGGTCCTATCCTAGAGCCTGGGCAGCACAAGCCCATTCTGCTGCACAGAAACCTGCAGGAGATGGCTCAGCTCTAGCCCAGTCCCTGATCTTGACACCCTTCTCCACCTCAGCTCTGGTGGCCCAGCTCTCCTTGCTGCAGGTTTCTTTGCTCTGCAAGCAGTTCAGGGACATTTGTGTTGTAACATGGGATGTGAGCTGGGATGAGACTGTGTGGGACATGGCACAGGGAACCATGGAGCCAAGTGTTATGGCTCAAGATGCAAGTCAGGACCCAAAGGCCAAATGGTTCACCATGATCTGAGCTGAAGAAATGAGAGTCCAGCTGAGAGGCAAGGGAAGAGCTCAGCTCCCAGTTGCCTGCTGGAAGGTGACCATTGATCAGCCAACAGGCTCCTCGTGTGCAGAGGTGGACAGAAGCCAAGGCAGCTGCTCCCGTGAAGACTGGCAGGATGACTTTGCTTGACCAGCCACAGGCTTTTCCTTCACTGCCTGCTGTGGCAGAAGGTACCCAGAAGGTCACAAGACCTTCATGGTGTCATGGGCAACCCACTCTGTAGCCCAGTTCATGAACCCTGTGGCTGTCCCCTTTCTCCCAGAGGAGCTGGAGAAGCTCTGGGAGGAGAGGTGAGCTGTGCAGATCTGCAGACCCAGTGGCTGCATCATCTCCCTGGTGGCCTCTGCTCCTTACCCCATTCCCTGGCCCCTCTCCAGCAGCCCCCATGGGGCAGTTCTCACCTTCTCTGACTTTCAGCCTTTTTTCTCTCAATATGAGGACAGTTGTGGTTATTTCTAGCTGACACTGCTGAAACACCTCCTGTGTTGAGGGACGCACATCCTGACACAGGCTCTCCCTGCAGCTCTTTTGACAGATGATGGTTTGACCTTGGCCTCACAGCTCAACCCCTTTGGGTTCTGTCTTTCCAACCTACACTGCCCGTGTTCTGGCAGCTCATGTCACTTAAGAAGCCATTCTCCTAAACCTAACTGTTTATACATCCCATCATTAGTGCTTCCCTGGGGAAAGTGGGGACTTGCTGGGTAAGTGCTAAGCACAAAGAAGGTCAGTGTATCTGCTTAGGTCCTGATGGGAACATAAAGGTGTCTCTGGTTGAATCTTGCTCTCCTTGCTGCCCTCTGCTCCCAATCCTTCTCTGCTCCAGGTGAATCCACCTCTGTCTTTGTGTTGGTTTTTCCTCTCCTGGAGGAGGAAGGGGTCACGATGGTAACCTGGGGAACAGGCACGAGCTGCTCTGACTCCTTGGTCTGGAGCATGTCCTGCTGGGAGTGCTTGTTCCCTGCTGGCCCTGCACATCATGCTGTGTCCATGACATGGCTGTGTGGAGCTGCACATGCAGCACATGTACAGTATGTCCCTCAAGGACATCTGGCTCTGGGGGAGAACCCTGATTTTGACAGCTGGTAGAATATAGAGCCTGTGTGTAATATCCGTGGTGTGGAATAAGGGGTGGAATGTCCTGGTTTGAGCCAGGCTGAAGCCAGTTTTCCTTTTACTGCTTTTCTTTCTTTTTCTTCACTGAGCTCTCTCCTAACCAGCAGCAAATGTTCCAGCCAGGGGACTGATAATGCTGTAATGTTTCAGCTACTGGCAGGATTGCAAGATCACCAGGAGAGTGGTATCTACAGCCCTCCTGTAGGGAGGAGTGGATGAGATGAGCAGCAGAACGGACCAAAATATTCCATTCCATGTATCTACATAAGCTCTGTGTGAGGTCAGGGATCATGGAAACCAAGCCCCTTCCTGCTGCTTCTCCCCTTCTCTCCCATCCATGGCCAGTGCCTGGGGAGCCCCAGCCAACCTGCCCTTCAACACAGCCAGGGATGGGGCAGCCACAGCTTCCCTAGGCAACCTGGGCCAGGGTCTCCCCACCCTCACAGCACAGAATTTCTTCCTAAGATCTCATTAAAATCACCCCTCTTTCAGCTTGAAACTGTTGCTTCTTGTCCCATCCCTCCCTGCCCTTGTCCAAAGCCCCTCCCCAGCTTTCCTGGAGCCCCCTCAGGTAATGGAAGGTGCTCTGTGGTCTCCCTGGAGCCTTCTCCTCTCCATCCCTGGGACCCTTGGAACCCCCTCCATCCCTCAGCAGCTGGGCAGCAGGAGCCCTGTCAGGATGCAACGGCAAGATCAGTTCAGATGGTGGTACCAGCTCTTGGTGTCCATACATCTCAGGGCTTCCTCCACTGTCTGCTCTTGCTGGGAGGATGCTCAGGGCTTCCAAGGTCCCTTGCAGATCCTCATGGCTGAGGCAGCCATGGGATCCTCTCTGGTCCTATCTGGGAACCTTTGTCCTGGTCACTGGCAGCCTCCCCTGTCCTCTCAGGCTCTGCAAGTTTCCCATACCCATTCCCTGCACTGGTAACACAGTACCAGGCTGTGGGAAGCCCCAGGAGTGGAGTCACTTTGAGTCTTCCAGAGCTGACACAGAGAGAAAATAAAAATCTTTATTGTTTTGGTAGCAGCAAGAAACAGAGTTTGGAGACCAAAGCTGGACAAAGTGGTTCCACAATGAGCATCCTGTGAGTAAGCAGAGAACCTTTTCACTTTCTCTGCTGGGCACACGGGTCTTACAACATCTGCAGGACCATGGCAAGGTTCATGCATGGCCAAGGTTCAGCTGGCTGGCTTGGAGGCAGCCTGGCTTTACATGGCAACACTCACCCCTAATTTTGCCAGACCACTTCCCACAAATAGCTCTGGGGATAAAATCCCCCTCCCATTTTGGCAGTGGAGGCAGAAGAAGGGGACAGTTTAGCCACATGGCACACAGCAGGTTACACCAGGAGGGGTCTGCAAGGCCAGGAGGTTCCCCAGCAAGGCTGTTCATAAGCGTGTCTAAATTATCATGGCTAAATGACACTTCTGCAAGACAAAGGGAACTTCAGGGGTCCCAAGGTGGCTCAGCAGGTCCTTGTGCTCATCAGCAGGGATTCTAGGTCTGTGCCAAGATGGTCTTGCAGGGATTCTCCAAGGCAGAGACCTCTCATCTCCTGCTCACTGCAGCTCCAGGGTGTTCACATAATCCTTCACCCACTTGGCATCAGGGTTAGCACAGACCTCCCGGTCCTTCCTGGTGATGAACCTGTCAAGTCAGGCAAGGAGGTGTTACAGCCCTGCAGGGGGGACATGAGGGTCTTGGGTCACATGCTGACCTGCCCTGTGTGATCAGGGTTAGCTCTCAAGGGGATCATGTCCCCTCCAGGTTCCCATCTTCAAAACTCCCAAGCAGCAGGGAGCTGCAGAGCCTGTTAAAATCCAGAGGACAGGGAGATATCAGGGTCCCCTGGAGAACCTCTACATGCTCAGTGGGGAGGAGAGCTTGAATTCAGTACAGGGACAGCTGGAACCTCAGGTCTTGCAAGCATCACACCAGAGAATCTGTGGCTGCCCCATCCCTGGAAGTGTTCAAGACCAGGTTGGATGGGGCTTGAAGAAACCTGGTCTGGTGGGAGGTGTCCCTGCCCATGCAGAGGGGTGGGACTGGATGATCTTTAAGGTCCCTTCCAACCCAAACCAGTTTGGGATTCTGTGATTCTATGATCAGCACTGGGAGGTCCTGCTGGCTTTGCAGGGACATCCTTCCCACACCTTATTCCCAGCATCAGGATGGTTCAAGCAACCAAGGAGACCACTCATTTCTCAGCTGAGGAGGATGAGTAATCAAGGGATCCATGGTGGCAGCCCCCATCTATTACTCCACGTATCTCATACCACGTGCTCTTGCCCCATTGGAAGAGAAGCAAAGACCCCCAAAGCTGGCAGAGCCTTTCCCCAGAGCCCAGAGCAGGGGTCTGTACTTACACAACTGCTGGCTGGGAACATTTGCTGCTGGTGTAGAAATAATCCTTCACATGACTCTGGGGCAGCTTTCGTAAGGTGTAGCTGAAGCAGCACACAGTTGTGTCAGCCCCAACTGGAAGAGACCAGGAAAGCCAGTGTGAGCTTTACTCATCAACTCAACCAACTGCACATTCCCCAGCCAAGAGCTTGGGCAACCATACCCTTCATCAGCTGTGGAGCCTTCTTCTGCTTCCCATTCCCCCAAAAAGTCAGCAAGAAATTGCTGTGAACACCAAAGCTTAATTAAAGCCCTTGCTGGGTTTGCTTGTTACATGTTTTCCACCCACTTCCAATGATAAAAATTCCTCTGGTCACCCTGGGACCACTCCTGAAGCTCAACAACAAAACCAGGGGAGATGAGACCTGAAAGCTTTGATACTTAGTAGTATAATTGTTTTCTAAAATAAAAATGCTATAAATGAAGTCTGAAGAGAGAAGGAGAAGGTGTTCACACAGGCTTTCAACATTTGCAGCTCCATTCTTCCAGTTCTGCTTCAAAATTATAGTCAGTGAGAACATAAATCCACCCCGAGAGCTGCTGTACTCACTTGGTGCAGGAGAGGCCTGAGGGAGGAGGGCAGCGATGAAGACGATGGAGAGGGACACTGCAGAGACCTTCATGATGGACAGAGATGAGCTGCAAGGGCAGAGTCTGGACCCGAGCAGATTCCTCCTGTGTCTGGTGTGAGGTGCTGGTTTGGTCCTTGCTTTTTATGGGGACAGTTGCCCCGTGAGTCAGATTTCAAGGCAAAGGGCCTGGAGTGGAGTTTCCAGAAGGCAACAGAGCTGATGTCACACCACCTTGGCCTCAGAAATGCTGAAAAAAAAAAAAAAAAAAAAAAAAAAAAAAAAAAAAAAAAAAAAAAAAAAAAAAAAAAAAAAAAAAAAAAAAAAAAAAGGAAGCAGCAGATCTAGGAAATACCAGAAGAGCCTCAGAGTGAGGCAAGGTAGGTCTGAGCAGCTGGGCACCCGCCCGAGGGCTGTGCTGACCGAGGCAGGATATGAAACTGCCCTCACGCAGCAGGTTGACACTTCAATTCAACAACACAGCAGCAGGTCCTCGTCAAACTCATCTCAACATCCTCCCCAAAGGACCAGAAGGGCCTCAAGTCTCCTTTTCAAGGCCCCCAGCCCTCTGGTGGGCAGCGTGGGCAGCAGGCATGCCTGGTGCAGGCAGCACAGGCTGGCACCCTGGACACTGGTTGGAGATGTGAGCTGGCAGTCTTGGCACCATGAAACACAAAATCCTCCAAGCCGTGCTCCCAGGATGGAACTGGGGACCCCCAGGCCCCTCCTAACAACCCCCCATCAGGCAGTAAGGGGAGCTGGGGAAGCCTGACTTGATGATTTCATTCCACAAAGAGTCTTCACCCAGAGACAAGGGGCAAACCCAAGTGCCAGTGTGGTACAAGGTGGGATGCAGAAGGTAGAGCAGGGGGTTCTCCTGCCTGGGGAGATGAGAGGGACCAGCTCTGATACAAATGTTTGTCCCTGTCCCCTTGTGCCTCCTCACCATCATGGGGTGCATGGTATTGTCCCCCCAGAGCCCTCTGTGCTTGCCCTTCCCACCAGGCCATGGACTCTCCAGGATGCCCCAGGGAGCATTTCCCCTTTTTTTCACCTCCCTCTTCTCTGCAACAGGCACCACGTTGTCCAGGCTGTGGTTTCTCTGGGTATTTTTGTGCCCAGTGACAGTTTACAAGGCACCTCAAGCTGGTCCCCTGGGGTTTCCTCACTGCCCCATGGCCCCAGTTACACCCCAGGGACTGCAGAAGAGAGCTGCTCCCACTCTCCTTTCCCCCCACCACATCATGTGGGTCTGCATGGGGCCCTCAGAGAGCTTCTTGTGTCTGGGTGTGCTGGGGCTGCTTCCCCACAGTGTCCCTTCAACAACAATGTCCCCATGACTGGGCAAGAAGGTCCCTACAGTCCAGGCCAGGGGTGGGCAAGAGTCCATGGCTTTCCCAATTCATCCTCCCCAGGAGCTGCTCTCATGGGGCTGGGGTGGTGGTGTCCTGAGGACCTGGGGACCCTCAGGACTCCTGCCTTCAACAGCACGAGAAGGACCTGGAGCTGAACCAAGTGACTGACACCACGGTGTTGTCACAAGGAGGTGGTGGTGGCATCTTGGGGCAGCACAGCAACGTTTTGCAGGTCCTCAGACCTTGCAAGGGACAAAATCTCAGCTGGAATTTGCCTCACTCTCAGAAGTGAACGATTGCTTGTCCCACACTGCATGTGTTCCAGCATTGCAATTAGCCTCACGTTCTGGCTAATTAATCACAGAATCATAGAATATGCTGGGTTGGAAGGGACCCATCAGGATCATTGAGTCCAAATCCTGTCCCTGTGTAGGGCACCCCAAGAATCACACCCTATGCCTGAGAGCATCATCCAAATGCTTCTTGAACCACCCTGGGGAGCTGGTTCCAGTCCAGCTTAGGTAGGTGTTCATGCCACAGCTGCATGGAGGGGTGCAGAGCCAGATGATGCAGCTCAGCCCCCTCTCCTTGCAACAGCAGTTTGCACTGAGCCTTGGCCTGTCCCTGCTGCCCCAAGGCTGATCCTGGGGCTGGGATGTCTCTCTCAAAGTGCCTGTTCTAGTAACTCTTCCACCCCCACCAGCTGCCTCACCACCCCACACACTCCTGTTGACTTTGGTGGAGCAGTGGTCGCCCACCTCCCCTTCCCCTGCCAGCACAGAGACCGTCCTGCTACGGGACGTGCAATGAACCTGTTTTCATACGACCAGAACAGCTGGAGGAGGAAGGAGCTGTTACTGTCTATGATAGAATCTCTGACAGGCCCAGATAAAGATCTCAGAAACCACAGGGTGATACTGACGCTGCTCCAGCCGCGGGGCTGCCGAGCTCACGCGCCCTCCGAGCTGCTGGAGGCAACTGAAACCATGACGTGTGCTGATCCTTCTGAGAGCACAGGGTGGCTGAGCCTCAGCCCAGCACAACTCCGTCTCACCCCCACCCAACATGTCCAAGGGATGGAATGATCCTGGAAGTGTTTCAAAGAAGCAGATGTGGTGCTGAGAGGCACGAATTAAGCACTGAACGGGTAGATTAGGTCATGCTTGGTGGATCTAGGTTGTGGTTGGGCTTGATGATCTTCAAGGTCCTTTTCAAACAGGATGATTCTGTGATGCTGTGACCATTGCACAGCCCAGCCTTGCCCCTCACTAGGGGCTTTGGTCCTATGCAGGTTTCTGGAGGTGCATTCTGCAGCCCTGACCATCACGGCAGAGGCACCAGAGAGATGGAAAGATGCCAGACCCTTCATCGTGGCTCCATCCTCACTCCAGGCAGCTCTTGCTGGAAGGTGACACTTCTCCTGTCTCCTCCTGCTCTGCACTCCTCCCAAGGGATCTGCTGCCTCCCTTTGCCCTCTCCTGCTCACTGCAGGGCAGCTGCTCAGGGAAAGGTGGTGACACAAGCAGAGGCTGGAATCCACCAGACATTGCAGAGAATCCTGGGGAGACATCAAGGAACCATGGGGGCCGGGGAGCTGGATGCCAGAGGCCCTACTGCAACTGCTGACCGAGGCAGGATATGAAACTGCCCTCACGCAGCAGGTTGACACTTCAATTCAACAACACAGCAGCAGGTCCTCGTCAAACTCATCTCAACATCCTCCCCAAAGGACCAGAAGGGCCTCAAGTCTCCTTTTCAAGGCCCCCAGCCCTCTGGTGGGCAGCGTGGGCAGCAGGCATGCCTGGTGCAGGCAGCACAGGCTGGCACCCTGGACACTGGTTGGAGATGTGAGCTGGCAGTCTTGGCACCATGAAACACAAAATCCTCCAAGCCGTGCTCCCAGGATGGAACTGGGGACCCCCAGGCCCCTCCTAACAACCCCCCATCAGGCAGTAAGGGGAGCTGGGGAAGCCTGACTTGATGATTTCATTCCACAAAGAGTCTTCACCCAGAGACAAGGGGCAAACCCAAGTGCCAGTGTGGTACAAGGTGGGATGCAGAAGGTAGAGCAGGGGGTTCTCCTGCCTGGGGAGATGAGAGGGACCAGCTCTGATACAAATGTTTGTCCCTGTCCCCTTGTGCCTCCTCACCATCATGGGGTGCATGGTATTGTCCCCCCAGAGCCCTCTGTGCTTGCCCTTCCCACCAGGCCATGGACTCTCCAGGATGCCCCAGGGAGCATTTCCCCTTTTTTTCACCTCCCTCTTCTCTGCAACAGGCACCACGTTGTCCAGGCTGTGGTTTCTCTGGGTATTTTTGTGCCCAGTGACAGTTTACAAGGCACCTCAAGCTGGTCCCCTGGGGTTTCCTCACTGCCCCATGGCCCCAGTTACACCCCAGGGACTGCAGAAGAGAGCTGCTCCCACTCTCCTTTCCCCCCACCACATCATGTGGGTCTGCATGGGGCCCTCAGAGAGCTTCTTGTGTCTGGGTGTGCTGGGGCTGCTTCCCCACAGTGTCCCTTCAACAACAATGTCCCCATGACTGGGCAAGAAGGTCCCTACAGTCCAGGCCAGGGGTGGGCAAGAGTCCATGGCTTTCCCAATTCATCCTCCCCAGGAGCTGCTCTCATGGGGCTGGGGTGGTGGTGTCCTGAGGACCTGGGGACCCTCAGGACTCCTGCCTTCAACAGCACGAGAAGGACCTGGAGCTGAACCAAGTGACTGACACCACGGTGTTGTCACAAGGAGGTGGTGGTGGCATCTTGGGGCAGCACAGCAACGTTTTGCAGGTCCTCAGACCTTGCAAGGGACAAAATCTCAGCTGGAATTTGCCTCACTCTCAGAAGTGAACGATTGCTTGTCCCACACTGCATGTGTTCCAGCATTGCAATTAGCCTCACGTTCTGGCTAATTAATCACAGAATCATAGAATATGCTGGGTTGGAAGGGACCCATCAGGATCATTGAGTCCAAATCCTGTCCCTGTGTAGGGCACCCCAAGAATCACACCCTATGCCTGAGAGCATCATCCAAATGCTTCTTGAACCACCCTGGGGAGCTGGTTCCAGTCCAGCTTAGGTAGGTGTTCATGCCACAGCTGCATGGAGGGGTGCAGAGCCAGATGATGCAGCTCAGCCCCCTCTCCTTGCAACAGCAGTTTGCACTGAGCCTTGGCCTGTCCCTGCTGCCCCAAGGCTGATCCTGGGGCTGGGATGTCTCTCTCAAAGTGCCTGTTCTAGTAACTCTTCCACCCCCACCAGCTGCCTCACCACCCCACACACTCCTGTTGACTTTGGTGGAGCAGTGGTCGCCCACCTCCCCTTCCCCTGCCAGCACAGAGACCGTCCTGCTACGGGACGTGCAATGAACCTGTTTTCATACGACCAGAACAGCTGGAGGAGGAAGGAGCTGTTACTGTCTATGATAGAATCTCTGACAGGCCCAGATAAAGATCTCAGAAACCACAGGGTGATACTGACGCTGCTCCAGCCGCGGGGCTGCCGAGCTCACGCGCCCTCCGAGCTGCTGGAGGCAACTGAAACCATGACGTGTGCTGATCCTTCTGAGAGCACAGGGTGGCTGAGCCTCAGCCCAGCACAACTCCGTCTCACCCCCACCCAACATGTCCAAGGGATGGAATGATCCTGGAAGTGTTTCAAAGAAGCAGATGTGGTGCTGAGAGGCACGAATTAAGCACTGAACGGGTAGATTAGGTCATGCTTGGTGGATCTAGGTTGTGGTTGGGCTTGATGATCTTCAAGGTCCTTTTCAAACAGGATGATTCTGTGATGCTGTGACCATTGCACAGCCCAGCCTTGCCCCTCACTAGGGGCTTTGGTCCTATGCAGGTTTCTGGAGGTGCATTCTGCAGCCCTGACCATCACGGCAGAGGCACCAGAGAGATGGAAAGATGCCAGACCCTTCATCGTGGCTCCATCCTCACTCCAGGCAGCTCTTGCTGGAAGGTGACACTTCTCCCGTCTTCTCCTGCTCTGCACTCCTCCCAAGGGATCTGCTGCCTCCCTTTGCCCTCTCCTGCTCACTGCAGGGCAGCTGCTCAGGGAAAGGTGGTGACACAAGCAGAGGCTGGAATCCACCAGACATTGCAGAGAATCCTGGGGAGACATCAAGGAACCATGGGGGCCGGGGAGCTGGATGCCAGAGGCCCTACTGCAACGCCAGACCATGTCATGGAAGGGCTGCAGGGAGGACCTTGGGGACCTCAGGTCATCAAAGCATTTTGGTTGGAAAAGTCCTTTAAGATCACCAAGTCCCCAGCCCTGCCAAGGCCACCACTGACTCATCTCCTTCAGCATTACATCTAAATGGCTTTGAAATCCCTCCAGGGATGGGGACTCCACACCTGCCCTGGGCAGCCTGGGCCAGGGCCTGACAGCCCTTTTGGGCAAGAAATTGTTCCCAAGATCCAAGCTGAACCTCCCCTGGCACAACTTGAGGCCATTCCCTCTTGTCCCATCCCTTGTTCCTGGGGAGCAGAGCCCGACCCCCCTGGCTCCAACCTCCTCTCAGCAGCTGCAGAGCCAGCAGGTCTCCCCTCACCTCCTTGTCTCCAGCCTGGACACCCCCAGCTCCCTCAGCTGCTCCTGCTCACACTTGTGCTCCAGCCCCTTCCCCAGCTCCCTTCCCCTTCCCTGGACACGCTCCAGCCCCTCAAGGCCCTTCTTGTTGTGAGGGGCCCAGAACTGACCCCAGGATTCGAGGTGTTCCCTCACCAGTGCTGGGCACAGGGGGACAAGCCCTGCCCTGGTCCTGCTGGCCACACCAGTGCTGATACAGGTCAGGATGCTGGTGACCTTCTTGACTGGCTCATATTCATCTGCTGCCAACCAGCACCCCCATGTCCTTTTCCCCTGAGAACTTCCCACTCATCCCCAAGCCTGGAGCATGTTCTGGGCTTGTTGTGGTGCATGAAGGAAAGGACCTGGCACTTGACCCTGTTGAACTTCTTACACTTGGCCTCAGCCCGTGGATCCAGCCTGTCCGTGTCCCCGGGCAGAGCAGACGGACCCTGCACCAGCTGCCCCAGGGAGATGCAGGGACCAGACAAGCCCTGCGGAGGGTTCCCCACTCGGGGGGCTCTGGTTCCTGCCGGTCCCGGCGATGTTCGCTCCGTCGCTTCCCTGCCCTCCCAAGCGCAGGAGCGTCCCGGGGCACAGGGCACCCTGTACTGCCTCTGTGGGTACAGCTCCTGCACCCTTGAGCTCAGCCAGGCTGCTCCATCCATCACCCACCCTCCGCGTCCCACCTCCAGGAACAGGCAGGGCTCCTAGCACCCTTGGGCCGTCCTCGGTGGCTGGAGTCACAGAATCACAGAAACACAGACTCACCAAGGCTGGAAAAGACCTTTCGGATCATCAAGCCCAGCCTATGACCAACACCCCCACATCTCCAGACCAGGGCACCAAGTCCCACCTCCAGCCTTGCCCTGAACACCTCCAGGGATGGTGCCTCCACCACTGCCCTGGGCAGCCCATCCCAGTGTCTGATCACCCTCTCCATGGGGAAGTGCTTCCTGATGTCCCACCCAAACCTCCCCTGGAGCAGCTTCAGGCCAGGCCCTCTTGTCCTGTCACTGGTTGCCTGGAAAAAGAGCCCAACCCCACCTGAGCACAACCTCCCTTCAGGTGGTTGGAGAGAGTGAGAAGGTCCCCCCTGAGTCTCCTCTTCTCCAGGCTAAACACCCCCAGCTCCCTCAGCCCATCCCTGTCAGACTTTCCCTCCAGTCCCTTCCCCAGCCCCGTTGTCTCCCCTGGACCTGCCCCAGCACCTCCAGCTCCTTCTTGCAGTGAGGGGCCCAGAGCTGCCCCAGGACTGGAGCTGAGGCCTCCCCAGTGCTGAGCACGGGCAGAATCACATCCCTGCTCCTGCTGGCCACACCATTCCTGACACAAGCCAGGATGCCACTGGCCTTGGGGCCACCTGGGCACTGCTGGCTCCTGTCCCACCAGTTGTCACCCAGTGCTCCCAGTTCCCTCTGCTGGGCTGCTCTCCAGCCACTCTTCCCCCAGGCCTTCCCTTGGGTCTGAATCCCACTGTGCTGGTCACAGGTGGCAGCCAGAGTGTCACCCTGAGCCCGGGCTGTCCCCCAGGCTCTCTGGGTCCAGTTGTGCTGTCCACTCTGGCAGCAACCAGCGGGGAGTGGGGGACACTTCAAGCCCCTCTCCATTGTCTCCATCATGTTTCCTAGGAGGTGAGTACAGGTTGTGCAGGACAAGTCTGGTTCTGATTTCGCTCCAGCCTGATCTGTTTTTTTCCTTGTTTTGTTTGTTTTTGTGGTTTTTGGCTTTTTGTTTGTTTGGTTGTCGTTGTTTGTTGTTTTTCCTTAAGTGAAATGTATTCTAAAGTCTTCTTTGCTCCAGTGAAACCACAGGATCACAGAGTGGTTCAGGTTGGAAGGACATTTAAAGGCCATCTAGCCCAACCCCCTGCAGTGAGCAGGGACATCCTCAACTAGATCAGGTTGTTCACAGCCCCATCCAACCTGGCCTGGAATGTTTCCAGGGATGGGGCATCTACCACCTCCCCAGGCAACCTGGGCCAGGGTCTCACCACCCTCAGGGTAAAACATTTCTTCCCAATATCTAGTCTAAATCTCCCCTCTTTCAGTTTAAAACCATCACCCCCCTCATCCTGTCCTACAGGCCCTGCTGAGAAGTCTGTCCCCATCTTTTTTACAGGCTCCCTCAAAGTATTGAAAGGCCACAATAAGGTCTCCCTGGAGCCTTCTCTTCTCCAGGCTGAACACCCCAACCCTCCCAGCCTGGCTCCAGAGCAGAGCTGCTCCAGCCCTTGGATCATCTCTGTGGTCTCCTCTGGACTTGGTCCAACAGCTCCATGAACTTCTTGTGTTGAGGACCTCAGAACTGGACCACGACCTGCAGAGGGGTTTCACCAGAGCTGAGCAGAGGGGACAATCTCCTCCTTCACCCTGCTGATCATGCTGCTATGCAGCCCAGGACATGGTTGGTTCACCTGGTGAACCAGGTCTGTCCTTGAGCCACTGGCCATCACTGCTCTCCCCAAAACTGCCTTTGGCTTTCCAGGATCAGAGTCCTGGCAGGGCCACCTCCTGCTTCCCACGCCTGCCAGCCATGGCACCCTCTTGCACAGAGGGTCTTGCAGTGCCTCAGGTCTCAGCAAGAAGCAGGCAAAGTCCTGTGAAAGGCTGGGGCATCCATCCCATCTGCTCCTCTCCTTGGGCTGTGGGGTCCCAGTGTTCCTCTCTTTCCAGGGCTTGATTGGTGGCCACCAACAGGTTCTCCACTTCCTCTATCTCATCCCTGGTGGTCTAGTGGTCAGGATTTGGCACCCTCACTGCCATGGCCTGGGTGGATTCCCAGCCAGGGAAGGGGGTTCCTGCACCCATTGCAGGTCCCAGCCTTTTCCTGGGGGGGTCACAGCCCAAAGGTGGCTCCTGGGGTTCAGCACAGCTGGTTTTTCAGTCTAGAGAGGAGAAGACTGAGGAGGGATCTAATTAATGTCTATAAATACGTGAGGGCATCAAGAAGGCAGGACAAGCTCTTGTCACTTGTGCCCTGGGACAGGACGAGGGGCAATGGATTCAAACTGGAGCCCAGGAAGTTCCACCTCCGCATGAGGAAGAACTTCTTTGCTGTGAGGGTGACAGAGCCCTGGGACAGGCTGCCCAGAGAGGCTGTGGAGTCTCCTTCTCTGGAGCCTTTCCAGCCCTGTCTGGATGCCTTTCTGAGTGACCTGCCCTGGTTTTGGTCCTGCTCTGGCAGGGGGGTTGGACTCGATGATCTTTGGAGGTCCCTTCCAGCCCCTGACATCCTGTGATGCCAGAAGGAGCTCCCACAGCCAGTGCATGGGGATGGATCAGCTGGAATACATTTCTGGGGAGACAGCAGCCCCTTGTAACCCCATGGCCATGGGGCTGCACCCCCAGCAGGAAAATATCCCAGGTGGGGGCCAGAGAGCAGCCTGTGGTGGGCTGTGAGGAGCAGGGTGACATGGCTGTGGGGAGCAGGGTGACACAGCTGTGGGGAGCAGGGTGACATGGCTGTAGGGAGCAGGGTGACACAGCTGTGGGGAGCAGGGTGACACAGCTGTAGGGAGCAGGGTGACATGTCTGTTCCCCTGAACACTGTCTTTTCCCTTTCCCAAAGCTGGGGCGTCCCTGGGAGATCAGGACCAGAATGGACATGCAGGGCTCCTCCGTGGGGGTGCCAGGTGTGTGTCCCTCTGTCCCTCCCTGGGACAGGAGGGCAGGGGCTGCCAAGTGAAAGCTGCTCCCACTGTTAGAAGGACTTTAATCTGTGCAGGGAAACCCCCCTGGATCTCAAGTCCAACCCCTTCACATCGGGGCTATCACAGCAGCTGGCCCAGGAGGTCCCCACAGGTCCCCACAGGACCTGTCACCCTGCCCAGGGGACAGAGCAGGACCTGGAGCCTAAAAGGAGGGTCTGAAGGGGTCCACAGTGCTAATGGAAAGGAGAGGGGGATTTAGACCCCAACAGAGGGACCAGAGGAGGAGCAGAGGAGGAGCAGAGGGTCCTGAATAGCAGTGGTACCCCAACAGAGGAGCTTGGAGGGGACCAGAGCTTGGTTGAGAGGTATGAAGCAGTTAAGAGGGTTAAAAGGTGTGGTCTGGAGACCTCCAGAGCCCAGACAGAAGGATCTGGAGGAAACCTGAGGAGACCATATTAATTAACTTGTTCTTGCAGCCTGGTCAGATTTCAGTTTCACTGGCCAGAATTCCCACAATATTTCTCAGAGGTGCTTTTTGTTGTTTGTTTTGTTGGTTTTTTTTCTTTTATTGACTTTTTTTCTTACCTGATCTTGTGTCATCACCACTGAACACCCATATTCATCTCCAGTTCTTGTGGTATTTACAGACAAAACAACCTGGCCTGGTAGAAAGGGTAGAAAGAACAGGATGTATTTATAGAAAAGTCAGAGTTCAACAGAGAACTGACAGCTCTTCTCTGGCAATAAATAGCATTTTCCAGGGTTACGCAAGAGAGAAAACCACAAAGTCTGTCATGAGACGCCTTCTTCTTCAAAGAAATGTTCAGACTCTGTTTCTGCTTGCAGGTTTTCACTGTTTGATCTGGGGCAATGGGTTCAAACCTCAACATTCCTCAACGTGAGGAAGAACTTCTTTCCTGTGAGGGTGACAGAGCCCTGGGACAGGCTGCCCAGAGAGGCTGTGGAGTCTCCTTCTCTGGAGCCTTTCCAGCCCTGTCTGGATGCCTTTCTGAGTGACCTGCCCTGGTTTTGGTCCTGCTCTGGCAGGGGGGTTGGACTCGATGATCTTTGGAGGTCCCTTCCGACCCCAAACACTCTGCCATCCTGTGATCTTCCAAGTTCCAGAAAGCAGCAGTGGCCAGGCCCTGAAGCTGCTCCAGGGGAGGTTTAGCTGGGATATCAGGAAGCACTTCCTCATGGGGATGGTGATCAGACATTGGGATGGACTGTCCAGGGAAGTGGTGGAGGCACCATCCCTGGAGGTGTTCAAGGCAAGGCTGGAGGTGGCACTTGCTCTGGAGATGTGGGGGTGTTGGTCATGGGCTGGACTTGATGATCCTAAAGGTCTTTTCTAACCTTGGTGATTCTGTGATTCTGTGATTCTTCCACTCCCACTTTGTTTAATGAATCTCTAGAGCTTTTCAAGCCATGTCTTCTCCAGTTACTTTCTAGGGGCCTGACAACTGCTTCTGCTTTGATGCATGGCTGTGACCCAGGTTTCCAGATAAGATGGTGACTGGTTCCAGAGCAGGAAGACAAAATAAACTGGAAAAAGGAAGAAAGCATCCTCCTGTTTAGCATAATCAGCATTGGAGGTCTCCTTCTACACCTGCCAACCCCATCTCCAGAGCAGCCACCTCCCAGACTGATCTCCAGTCTGAGCGTGAGGCCACAGTCTGAAAGAGAAGTGGAAGGGCTTGAAGAGGCTTTTACTGACAGAGTGGAGAGGAAGGAGTTTGGTTCCTGAGGCAGAGCTGAAGATTTTGTTCATGGAGAGGAGAGGGACTTTGGTTCATGGGAAGGGAAATAAAGGACCAGCCTCTGAGGAAGGGGAGCTGCTCATGGGGAAGAGCTGTGCTGGGCACTGCTCGGGACAGGAGTCATGTCTGGGCTTTGCAAACTGAGGTCTTCCCATGGATGGATGTGCAGTAGCGTGTCCTGGTGGGTGTCGTGGGTCCTACCACTGTGCTAGAAAGTCACAGAAAGTCTCCCACAGCTTTCCTGCCCTGCGAACTGTGCCTACAGCTCATGGCAGAGCAAGGGCTGGACACTCTGCCAAGTGACGTTGAGTTGGCAAAGACCTGTGACCACAGGCAAGGCTGAGAGCTTGGGCTGTCCCCAGGGGCTGGTCACCGTGGATGTGTTTTCTGGGAAGAGGTCTGCACCCAATGCTGGCCCTGCCCAGCTGCTGGGCTCTCCTGTTCCTCCCTGGCAGGCAGAGCCATAGGGCATCTGCCCTGGGCACCTCATCCTGGTCTTCATGGCTGATGGAGGGCAGCACCAAGGAGCTTCAAAGCCTTGGGTGTTCCTTGCATCCTGTAGGCAGAAATGGGATGGGCAAGGTGATGATGAGCACCTGCCAGGGCGACCAGAGTCCTTCTGCTACCAGGACCCAGCTTCTGCTTTGGGTTTTGAATTTATCTTTCGGGAAGAAATATTAGCATTGTATTTTTGCCATTGAATTTTCAGCTTCTGAAACCTGACCTTCAAATTGATTTATTTATTTTCAGATGTAAAATTACACATGTTCATTAGCAGTTTCCTGTCTTATACTTTCTTTTCATTTATTTTGGCTTCCTCAGAGCTGCGAAAATATTTAAATAGGCAGGATTGGCTACTTCATCTTGTGAGATTTACATGACTGTCAGTAATTCAGGGTTGTATTTTCTCATCAGCCTGGCTGATATTCAAACAATTAAATTATTTCCTCCATCTTCCCGTTTGTCCACAGACCTTTTTCCTACTGCTGAGCTGTTGCAATCCATGGCACAGTGCTTGGCTGGCCCAACACTTTGTTCCTTTCTGGACATTTCAGGATGGCATCTCCCATTTTACACCTCAGGCCTATCCTTACTTTTCAGATGGAGCTTTTGAGCTTGTCCACATTACCATGATTTTACTGGAGAACAACTGAGCCTGCCCTGTGCATCCACATTGTTCTTTGCCGGGTCTTCGCCATCCACAAGGATCAGCCCTTATACTCATTTCCAAAGCCCTGCTGATCTGACTGCCTTTTGATTATACAAACCATATTAAGGAATTTTCACTGGGACACAACTTTGGTTTTCCTGGATACAGGTTTCAACATCTCCCCCCATGCAGACAGGCTGCCTTCTGAGCTTAGCACCCTCCCACAAGGATGGGGAAGGATAGGTGGGATGTCTTATGAGGAGTGGCTCAGGTCACTGGGACTGTTCAGCTTGGAGAAGAGGAGGCTGAGGGGTGACCTCAGTGCAGTCTGGTTCCTCACCAGGGGAAGAGATGGGGCAGGTCCTGATCTCTTCACTCCTGTGACCAGTGACAGGACTGGGGGAAATGGCAGGAAGCTGAATCAGGGGAGGTTTAGGTTGGATATCAGGAGAAGGTTTTTCACCCAGAGGGTGGTTGAGCACTGGAACCAGCTCCCCAGGGCAGTGGTCACAGCATCAACCTGCCTGAGTTCAAGAAATGTTTGGTGATGCTCTTAGGCCCAGAGTGTGATTCTTGGGGTGTCCTACACAGGGACAGGAGTTGGACTCATGGTCCTGATGGGTCCCTTCCAACACAGCATATTCTATGATTCCATGATTGGCAAAATGACGCATTTATGGCTTTCCAAACCATCAAGTGTGTCAACCAACAGCAAACAAGAAGCCAAATTCTTTTACCATCATAAAACTCTTTTACCAGCATTTACTCAGAAGGCATGGAGAGGTCTGCACCTTTCTGCTTAATCCAGGAAAGCAAACCAGCAGATAGTTCCTCTTGGCTCAATCTGGTCCCAGTTTCTCCTTTTTTGGCCACACCCAGGTCAGACTGGGTTAATTTCTACCCAGGTGTGTGCTATAAAGGACTGGCTTGTTTCCCAGTCCTACAAGCTCTACAGAGATGGCAGGTAAGACCAGCACTTTTAAATTTTATATCTGCATTTGACTGATTTGATATTTCTGGTGTGGGTGTTGGTGCCTTCCATGGGTGAGCCCTAGGAGACTGAGTAGAGCATCAGGAGCTGGTGGTCCCTCACCCTTACTTCTCAGCCCATGTGTGAAATTCATTTTGAAAAGTGAGAAAAGTCAGCTTTGCTGTCTCGTGTAGCAATACCCTGCAAGATAAGATTGCTAGAATCATAGACTCGTAGAATAGTTTGGGTGGGAAGGGATCTGAGAGATCACCTAGTTCTAACACCCCTGCATGGGCAGGGACACCTCCCACCAGCCCAGGCTGCTCCAAGCCCCATCCAACCTGCCCTTCAACACTGCCAGGGATGGGGCAGCCACAGCTTCCCTGGGCAGCCTGGGAGAGTGTGTCACCACCCTTACACTCAAGAATTTCCTTCTAAAGTCAAATCTAAATTTCCCCTCTTCCATTTTTAAGCCATTGCCCCTTGTCCTCTCACTACAAAAACTATTTGTCAAAAGCCCCTCCCCAGCATTCCTGGAGCCCCTTCAGGTGCTGGAAGGGGGATGTTTGTGGGAAATGAAAAGACTTCAGTCCCTGTGAAGATTGTTGGAGAGTTTCCACACATGATTAATGTAAGATGACCTGGACACAGTGAACAGATTGTTAGTTCTTCCAAATTTTTTTTTTCCTGTCTTTCCTTTTCTAAACAGTTAAACCATTAACTAAATTACTGAAAGTCTATCTGTTACCTTTGGGCTGAAGATCTTCTTCTGGGGAAGGCATAGTGCCAATGTATGTCACACTGAGGAGAGCAGGTGGGGCACATTTCTGGCACTCATGTGGGAAAGGAACAAAGACAAATTTCAGGAGCACCAAGAAGACAAACAGTTCTGGTAGATGGCTGGAGAACAGTTCCTAGACATAGCAACTTCTTGGGCTCAGTAACAAGATAGAGGGGACAGAGAGGCAGGTGTGGGCTCTAACCTCCTTTACACCAACCACTCAGGAAGGTCCCTCCCAAAGGCAGGACACTTCCCTTTTCCAACACAGGTTCCCAGTAGTGTCCATCAATGAAACCTGGGCTGTGCTTGGCTGCCTCCTTCTTGGCAGCTCCTCAGCCCAGTTTACAGAATGTCCCACAACACAGGGATATCCCCCTGTCCTGCCAACACCAACAGCTCCAGCCCTGTCCAGCCACAGCCCCACTTAGGGACATGATCAGTGGGGTGTTGTATCTTACCTTTCCATCCTGAAAGAAAGAGTCCAACCAAACCTCTCCAGATGCTCCAGTCAAACCCTGCCCTTTCAGAAGATTTATGTTGCATTTTTCTCTAGGCATAAAACCAAGAATTGCTCTCTTAGGATCCATCATTACTCTCTGCTTAGTCGGGGCAACGGACTCCTCATTAAATGGTAAGTTTGTTTTTCCTCAAGCACTGCTACTGTGCTTGCAAGAGACAAAACCTGTGGGAGAGGGTCCAGAGAAGGGGCACCAAGATGCTCAGAGGGCTGAAGCAGCTCTGCTCTGGAGCCAGGCTGGAAGAGTTGGGGTGTTCAGCCTGGAGAAGAGAAGGCTCCAGGGAGACCTTAGAGCAGCTTCCAGTGCCTGAAGGGGCTCCAGGAAAGCTGGGGAGGGGCTTTTCATCAGAGAAGGCAGTGATGGGACAAGGGGTGATGGTTTTAAACTGAGAGAGGGGAGATTTAGGTGAGATATTAGGAAGAAATCCTTCACTCTCAGGGTGGTGAGGAGCTGGAATAGGTTGCCCAGGGAGGTTGTTGATGCCCCATCCCTGGATATTTTTAAGGCCAGGTTGGATGAGGTTTTGTGCAACCTGGTTTAGTAGGAGGGGTCCCTGCTCATGGCAGGGGGGTTGGAACTGTGTGATATTTAGAGTCTCTTCCAACCTTAATGATTCTATGATTCTAAAACCTAGGCTGAGTTACCTGTTGGATGTAGCCCCAATATAAATTTGAAATATCCTGTAGATTGATCCACTGACAATAAAGCCAACACTTAAGAAACTTGTCTAAGGAAATGGCCTATTTAACCAACAGCTCTTCCAAGCACATGCTCATCACGTTATGGCAGAGAAACTGGGTCAGAGATTATATATTTGGCTTCTTCTAGGCATTTCCCTTCTCATGGGGAAGAATAACTTCAAGAAGAAGGGTGAAAAATCACTACCTAAAAGCCTCCCAGAACTAGGGAAGCCAAGTCTGTGAAATGGGTAATGAGCTACTGCTTTACAGTCCTTCTTGTCCTGTGACCTCAGCCCTGGGGGGAAGCAGATGAGCAAGGGAAGCAGACACAGGTGTGAGAACAGTGTGCAAATGAGACAGTGCATCTCAGCACCCAGAGCTGGGCTGGGGTGTGGAGCTCTTGGTGTACAGTAGAAAGTATCCTCAATTTCTTCTGCTGCTGCTTTTTTTTAGAAGAGGTGCTGTCAGACTCGTCTCTTCTGAGCACCATTTGCCAAGCCAGGCAGCTGGTGGACACGGCATATTCACAGGCCCGAAGAAGGTGAGTCCTTTTTGCTTGAGGGCCCCAACGTGACCCCAGTGACAGAACCAGGGGTGGTGGTTTCAAACTGAAAGAGGGGAGGTTCAGACTGGATATTTTTGACACTGAGTGTGATGAGACCCTGGCCCATGTTTCACAGAGAGGTGGTGGATCTCTGGATATATTCCAGGCCAGGTTGGATGGGGCTGTGAGCAAGACAGTTGAAGATGCCACTGCTCACTGCAGGGGGGGTTGAAGTAGATGGCCTTTAGAGGTCCTTCGAACCCAAATCAGTCTGGTGATTCTATGATTATAAGGCAGTAAGAGATAATATATGTGTTTGTTCTGCTTTCCAATGCATATTTATTATGGAGATGCCTTCGTTCAAGGGTTCTCCCTGTCATAGTTGGATTTCTTTGACCAGTTTGGGGTGATTCTAGTGTCCCACCTCAGCCCCAGGGCCACCCTTCATCACCCACAGCTGTTGCCTCCTCTCCTGCACTGCCATGGGCACCTCTCAGTGGTACAGGCATGCTGGACATATGTTGAGTCCTCCGCTGGCTGCTGAAGTTCTGCCCTTCTCTGGAAGGACCACAGCTGTGCAGATGAGCACCCTGTCACAAATAAGTCTCCATGGAAGTCAGACTCCAGGTATCCCTCTGTGCTTTGTCCCAAAAGGCTGGTTGCAGGCAGCAGGATGCTTTGGGGAAGAGTCTCTCTCCACTCACCCTATGAAAGGTTTTTCATAGAGCAAGAAAGAGCCAAGGGATCAGGAAGAGATGCAACAAGGCCAAGGTTGTCAGAGAACGTATCCTGTGACATACTAAGTATAACATTTTATTCAATCAGCCAATAACTCACTTTTCCAATGCTCTATATAATAAAAATGTGCTGTGAAAAGGATGCAATGCAGACTTGAAGTAGGAGATGGCAACGGTTTGTTTGCCAAAATCCATCTGAGATGACGTGCAGGGCGGATGAGCAGCACCACCTCCACGTGCACCCATCCCAGCAGGACAGAGAGGAGCTCATTGCAGAGAAGGAGCTTCATGAGGTTCTTTTATGTTTAGCTTAAAGAGAAAACTAGAGGAGAAGGTTTCCAATCCGATGGATTTCCTGAAGCACTTAAAGGACCCAGTAGGAAGAACCAGATCTGCAGCCCGTGCTGCTGATTACTGGGAAACTACCTTGAAACTCCTCAAAGCGAAGCTGCGTCTCTCTGTGAAACGGAGATTCAACGTTACAGGTAACGTGGTTTAAACTAAAATATCTTCTCAACAGCTAAAAGCAGATCTACCCCTGCAGGAGTGTTACAGAACAGCTCTGCCATGACCCAAATATCTGCTAATAAAACTCTTCCCCACAGCAGCCCCAGGCATGCTCAGAGGCAGACCAGACCACCTAGTGTTTATCTCATCATCTTGGTACTGTATCTTTGATGGTACAAACAGCATAACAATAGGTGTGGTAAATCTGAGGTATGACAGTACCACAGGGTCACTCTGGTTGGAAAAGACCTTAAAGATCGACTGTAACTACTACCCTAACTCTGCAACGTCCAGCACTAAACCCTGTCCTCTGACACCACATCTGTCTTTTAGATGTCTCCAGGGATGGTGGCTCAACCACCTCCCTGGACAGCCTGGATCACCACATCCAACTTCCGCCCCAAAACAGAAGAACCCCAAAGGTCACACCATGTCCCCGAGGGTGTTGTTCAAAAGCTTCTTGAATATTTTCAGGCTCACTGCTTCCCTGTGGAGCCTATTCCAGTGCTCCATCACACTCTGGGTGAAGAATCTCTTCCTAATGTCCAACCTAAACTTCCCCCTGCACATCTTCCAACCATTCCCTCAGGTCCTATTGGGTCCTATCAGGACATGCTGGATGCCAGGAGACTCTGGCCCCTGCAAACAAGAGTCCATTGTCCAGTTCTGGTCCTCACACCCACTTGCCCAGGCTGTACCACTGTGTGCTTTGCTCCCAGCCTAAGGTAAAACATTGCTGGGGATGGTGTTTCCTGTATTCCCTGGGGAAGTCATTCCATGCCAACCCGGTTTCCCCAGCCCAGAGGTGAGAGCTGAGCCACCAAAAAATTCAGGCATCAAATGAACAATTCAAATCCAGGCTTTATATACCCACAGCTCTGACTCAGCTGACTCAACATTGACCTAGAGTAAAACAGTGTAAGAGCAGATGTTACCAAGCACGGTTTCTCTTGCAGACATACTAAACAGAAAACAGAAGGAGTTGATTTCCAAAGAAACTGGCTGTGACTATCAGGTTCGTTCCATTAAATGCCCAGAGGATGACACTTACCGGACCATCACTGGAGAGTGCAACAACAGGTGGGATTTGTGTGTGGGTAGGGAGAGTCTCCGGCTCTCTTTGTCTGGAGACAGATGTTCCAGGATACATTGTCCTTCTATAGATGGGTTCAGGTTGCTTGTTCAAGTGCCCCTGAACAGGGCAAGAAGAGTGAAATGCTCGTTCAATGGTGCCTGTAACAAATGTTTCATTTCTACCTGTGCTTGGCAGGAAAAAGATGCCATTTCTTGACAATGTCAGATATGAACCCATTGCCCAGAGTTTATTGCTTTGGGTGAAGGAAAGGACTTGTTGGACTGGGGGGAGATGAAGAGTTGAGTCAAGTAGATTTTAAGGCTCTGTCAGCCAGCCCACCTACTCAGCTGGAGGCCCCAGGAAAGCAGCCCTCCTCTCCTCTGTGGCAGGGCTAATACTGACTGCCCTGGGCTGGCTGCAACACTGTGCTCTGCAGGTGATGAGAGCATTGGCTGCCAAATTTCAAATCTCAGTGAATATACCGTGAATACATCCAGGATCTGTTTACTCTACCCCACTAAACACTGTGGACCAGATTTGGTGCCTGGTCCACATGAAAATATCCACCCTCAACCTAAGTGCACCCTCGGTTGTGATGCATGAGAAAGGGACGTAAAGAAGAGTTTCATTCTTGGCTCTCCTAGTAGAGTCCATCCCCAATGTGAAAACCAGGACTTCTCCAGCTTTTTGTGCATAGCTTCCCTCCTGGTTCAAACCTAGGATAATTCACTTATTTATTCCCTTGCTAGCTACTTTTTGTTGTTGTTGTTGTTGGTTGGTTGGGTGTGTTTTGGGTTTGTTGTTTGTTTTTTTTATCAGAAGATGGCAAAATTTCTAGCTTAATAACTGGAAGTCAAGGCTTGCTGTCCTGGTCTGCATAGACCTGCTGCCTGGTGTGCCAACACCAGCCTCCAAGTCTGAGTGGGACTTGGCCCCAGTGTGCATCTGGCATGAAACACGTGCCAGATGTGAAGATGTGGCAGAACTCTGCATCATGCAGGCAGGGAACTGGTGTTACAGTCTGTACCTTTCCCTGTAGACTCCAGAGCCTGCAGCTCCCCAAGGAAAGCAGTGTCCATGCTGATTTTCAGGCTCAGGGCAGGGTTGTGCTTGGGCTTCCTCATCTACTGGGCTGCAACCGAGATCCTTGAGATGCACACCAGGAGAACCTTTTGTGAAAATCTACCCGTGGAGATGGTAACAGGCTTCAAAACAAAAGCTGTGGTGGTACCAGGCTCCTAATACCTGATGGAATTGATTCTGCTATGGTGTGGCAGTTGTCCTAGGGCATGCTTTTATCTCACCACACACTGCTATAAACTTGGGGTACACCACCCCATTTTCAGCACAGACAGATATTACCCAGGTTTTATGGACTTCAGAGCTTAAGCACCTTCCTGTGCACCAACTCATATTCAGGGACCGGTTTCCCCCAAATAACCAGTGTTTTTGTGTCCCTAGAGCCACAGATTATTGACTCAATCAGCACTATTGTTCTTCTGAGCAGGTGTTGCTGAGTTCACTGATGCAAATTCTGAGCATGATGCGAAAATATGGAACAGGTTGCCCAGAGAAGCTGTGGCTGCTCCACCCCTGGAAGAGTTGAAGGGCAGGTTGGATGGGGCTTGGAGCAACCTGGGCTGGTGTGAGGTGTCCCTGTCCATGGCAGGGGGGTTGAGAATGGATGATCTTGAAGGTCCCTTCCAACCCAAACCATCCTATGTTTCTGTTCTATGAATATAACAAGTGCCACAGCTGCAGGTTGCAGTTTGGGGGGTTTTGTGTTGGACAAGAGGAAAAGCTTCCTCGGGGTGCAGTCTTGGCACAAGTCCCCACAGAGGTGGAGGATCTCCATCCTTGGAGGCTTCCAGCTCTCAGCTGGGCAAAGGCATGGCCTCCCCGACCACTGGTGATGCCCCTAACTGTGGAGATAGAGGTGCTACAGAGATTTAAATGCTAAATAAGATTATTATAATGGCATGAGGAAGTTTTAATTAAAATATTTTTTTAAAGTTCATTTTTCTCTGTAGTTATTTGCTTTTCAATGTTTTTGCCTGTCACTTCAGTCACCAGAGTAATCACACCTGGATGAAAGGGCAGCAAAACATGAGTCTCTGCAAGCCTGTTCATTCCTGAAGTAAAACCAGTGCTTGCTTTTCTCTCTGTGGCTCTGCAGGAAGCATTCCCACCTGGGGTCCTCGAACCAGGCGTTCGCTCGCTGGCTGCCAGCAGTGTATGAGGATGGAGTGTCTGTCCCCAGAGGAGTCAGTGAAGGAAAGCTCTACAATGGATTTCAGCTCCCCCTGGTGAGGGCTGTTCTTGTCCAGATAACAGTAGAGGCCTCTGCCCTCACTGTATCCATCAGAAATGAAACAGTGGCAACATATGGAGTGTAAAGTGCTTGAGCCTTTCCTCTGATCTCAAGTGCTGATTCAAGGCTTGTTTTGTAAAATTGAGCTACAACCTGGGGTGATTTTTTTTGTTGGAGACAGACTTCAGCATGTTGTGAAGGCTTCACTAAGCAAAGCATGGACAACAAAACACTTTCAGAAGTGTGCACCCAAGGTTTGGTGAAGACAGAGCCATGGTGTGCTCAGATACAGTAGGATTTTTGTACCAACTGTAAAGCTTGGGTGTTCCTCAGCCATCTTCTTGTCTTCCTGGATGTGTGCACACACCTCAGTTCCACCTGAAGATGACTCTCCATGAAGCTGGGCTTGGCAGAGGGACTGTGGACCCAGGAGGATATTATATGTCACATCTGTTTTGACCAAGTTGGGTCATAGCATGGGCTGGTTTAATGCCATAATTAACTCTTATGAGCTTATCTAAGATCATCTTACCCATGGTCTCATAGTGGGTGTTATACTGAGACATGAACTCACCCTGGTGTAATCACACATTTTCATTCTGATTTCCTGCAGGTTCGAAAAGTGTCGAATGAAATTGCCTGGACAGCCAACAGGAACATCACTCAGGACCAGGAGCTCTCTCTTGTCTTCATGCAGTGGGGCCAGTGGGTGAACCACGACATAGACCTGGCCCCAGCCAGCGGGGCAGGGGTGAGCCCGGAGCTTCACTGCGAGACCGACTGCGCTTTCCAGCCCCCCTGCTTCCCCATCGAGGTACCTGGCCTTTCACTCCATCCACAGCCTCTTAAGGCAGTAAAACCAAAACGATTTGACTTGCTTGTGTTTGTTGGCTGCAGTTTCCCCCTGATGACCCTCGGATGCTGAGGTCCAACTCCTGCATGCCCTTCATCATGTCAGCATCGGTCTGCAGCGCAGGGCTGCCGGTGCGGCAGCAGCTCAACGCCGTCAGCTCCTTCATCGACGCCAGCACCGTCTACGGCAGCGACGACTCCCTGGCAAAGAGTCTTAGAAACCAGACCAACCAGTTGGGCTTGATGGCTGTGAACCAGAATTTTACGGATGCGGGGCTGGAGTTGTTGCCCTTTGAGAACAACACAAAAAGCATTTGTGTTCTCACCAACGAGAGCATGAACATCCCCTGCTTTAAAGCAGGTAAGTGCAGCCGTGGAGCAGTTTTCAGTGGTTCATGAAGTCAAAAGGCTCATTGGGCTCAGGTGTCTGAGGGCTCTTTGGTATTTGTAGGACATGCTGCAAGACAGGAGACCCTCCCCCAGATTAAAGAAGAGTTACAACTGGCCCATAATTGTTTAATCAAACGTGGAAGTTATTTTGTCTAAATTTTGCAAAAGAGTTACAGCAACTCATCCTCCCTTCAAAACATCTTTCGAAAGGCAGGAGAAATTTTCAATAGAAAATAGTGTTTAAAACTTCTCAGTGAATTTTTTCCTCTCCTACCTAAAATTCACCATTCAGTTTTCAGTTCAATCAATACCAACAATTAAACACCCTTAATCAATTCAGTTAACTCTCCCTGGTACCACATTCTAAATTTTTGATATTTCAAATATCCCAACCTAAGTCAGAAGACAATTCTATAAGTTTTTCTGAAATTTAAACAAACTGATGACTTAAAACACAGAACTTTTTAGGATGGAAAGTGATCCATCATAGGGTATTATGAACATGAAGCTTGCAAAGTCCATCAGAAGACTAGAGTGTTCCCATCACACATTATTCTCTCATTCCCTGCACATCAGAAGAGCTCCTTGCTGGGTGAGGAGATACTCAGGGCTTCTTACATCAGCTGTCAGAAGATCTTTGCTGCACCCCTTTGGTGTTCTCTCAGCACCTCTGCTGAAAGCACATGCACAGACCAATCAGAGGTTTTTACAACTTGGGTGGACTGAGACAAATTTTCAAACCCAAAGTTCACAGCACTGACATAAGATTGTGACCTTATGGTACAAAAGGAAGGCAGACCTCAGGTTTTTCATGAAACGAGACATTTACAGTTCTTTTTGAGCATATGCAAGATAGTTTCAATTGCCCAAAGCCTCTTCTCCAAGGGTTGTGGCTGAATAGTTTGGCTGAATGTTTTCCTCTACAGGAAGGAAATACCTGTCACAAATGATGACTTCTGGAAAGCTTAACCATGAGCTTTGCTGCCAGTAGCACTGACCTGCAGTTGTTACTCATCTGTCCAAACCCAAAAATCTGCTGCTGAACTAAAAATAGAAATTGGCAACATTCCTAAAACATTCTCATTTGTAGGGGACAAGCGGGTAACTGAGAACCTGGGGCTCTCTGCACTGCACACGGTCTTTCTACGAGAACACAACCGCCTGGTTACAGAGCTGAGGAAATTAAATCCTCACTGGGATGGAGAAAAACTTTACCAGGAGAGTCGAAAGATTCTAATTGCCATTAACCAGGTACTAATCACTGCTGGCTGTTCATCATCCACATGCTTGGGTATGGTTTTCACTCTATGAACAGGGGGAGAACCACGCTTTGTGGATCTAGAGGAGTTACTTGTGGGAGTCAAAAACTGTGCATAAGGAAGGTCCATCTGAGAAGCAGGGGTATCATGAGCTTTTAACCCATTATTTTACCAATTTATCAATTATTTATTATATTGAATAATTTTAGTATTATATTGAGTAATTTTAAACAGAACCCTCTGCCAATGAACCCTCTGTTCATGTTCAAGCTCTAAGCTTTACTTCACTGGCATTTCTGCTGCAGCTGCTGACAACCTGCTCTGTGTTGTTTTTTCCAGGTAATAACGTACAGAGATTACCTCCCACTTCTGCTGCCAGAGGAGACCAGCAAGTGGATCCCTTTGTACAGTGGCTACAAGGAGAATGTGGATCCCAGAGTCGCAAACGTTTTTTCCCTGGCTTTCCGATTTGGTCACACGTTGGTGCAGCCCTTTGTATCCCGTTTAGATGACAATTTCCAGCCTTTGGGTTCGTTCTCCCATGTCCCTCTTCATTTGACCTTTTGCGCTACATGGAGGGTTATAATGGAAGGTAAGAACATGGGGTGGCCAGCACTGCTGGTCCTGAAGGAGATGCTCTGATGGAGCTCAGCTGGTGCAAATACCTGCTCTTGATTTGTGCTGAACGCAGGTGGCATCGACCCACTGATACGGGGCATGGTGGTTGATCATTCCAAATTGATGAAGCAGAACCAACTGCTCGTCGATGAGCTCCAGAACCACCTTTTTGAACAGGTAGAGATAATGGGTCTGGATCTAGCAGCCATTAATATGCAACGGGGAAGAGACCATGGCATTCCAGGTGAGGAGACACAAGTCCACAGGTCACGTGAACAATACTCTTCTTTTAATTCTGCTGTTTATAGTAGTTCCATGATTGCACTAAGCTTCTTCCACAGAAATGGGAAGTAACAGGACCTTGACTTGAGGGCAAAGAATGGAAATACAGTCAAGCTGAGGAAAGAAAAGGTCTCTCAGTTATAAAGATCTTTGTTTTTGCTGAGGGACAAGGACAAAAGGCTTGGAAAGCAAAGATGATAGCTGAGATAAAAAAAGAGGGGTAGAAACAAGGGTGGATTGCAAATAGAGAGCATGTGGGGCCCAGAAGGTGCAGACACAAGCAACCAAGATCAGCTTTCACGTGGGCCTGAAAGACCATCTGTGCTTTGGTCTTTGCCCATCGATGGGTATTTTGTGTTTTCAGCCAACCCAGAGCTCTGAGCAGAAGTGACTTGGACCCCCAGGTTTGATTGCCCCCAGATGCTGGAGAAGAGCTAGAGCTCTGGGGTTAAGCACAACCAAATGTTGATCTTTTCTAGGACTTCAGTCCTAGAAATCCTGCCTTCCAAAACTGCACTAACCAACAGGATGCAGGGAACCTGTAGACACATGCAAAGGATCATCAAACCATAGAATAAAGGATCATCAAAGTGTCAGTTTAGTGTGTGGACACAAAAAGGACCTTTGAAAACACAGCATTTGTTGTGACTCTTTAGGCAATAACATCTTCCAGATCCTTTAATGGCAGGAGAAGGAGCAGACATTGCTCATGGGCCAGGGTGACTTTTTAGCTCCTAAGCCTAGGCAGATGGTGGGGAAATGTGTGTCTTGACCAGCTGCTGCTCCTGCTTTTGCAGGTTACAATGCCTGGAGGCACTTTTGTGGGCTCTCCCAGCCTCAAAACCTGGAAGAATTGTCTGAGGTGCTAGGCAATTCCAAGCTGGCCAAGAAGTTCATGGAGTTGTATGGGACACCAGACAATATTGACCTCTGGATTGGGGCAATTGCAGAGCCCATTGTTTCCCAGGGAAGACTTGGACCCCTTCTGGCCTGCATCATTGGCACCCAGTTCAGGAATCTGCGTGATGGGGACAGGTAGGTCCCTGTGCCACCTTCCCCATGACATTTATCATGGGAAAAATTGCCAATGTTTTGGGTGCTGCACTAATCCATCCCATCTCCAGCCCATCAGTGAGTGCTCCCAGCAAGACTCACACCTTGATTTTAGCCCAGTTGCCAAAGGACTTTTCTTTGCAGCCCATTCCTACAGACCAATTTGGTCCAGGATCACCAGGCCCAGGACATGGGTGATCTGTAGTAGTCTCTGCTTGAGGTGACATTTGCTCTCAGGTTACAAAAGGGGAGGATCGTGGTGCTGCATGAAGAGGCAGGTTCTCTGTGCTGGCAGGTAAGTAGCACAATCCAGACCTGGCCACACTGGAGACACTTATTTCCAAAAGGGTGTGCCTGCTGCCCGGTGGGTCAAGGTGGATCTGAGCAGAGACTCACCTTGGTCAGGTTCCTATCTTGGCAAGTAGCCAACACCAAACACCCTCAAGGGGACTACAAGCTGCTTCTGAAAATCTCATTGCAGATTCTGGTGGGAGAACCCAGGAGTCTTCACTCTGCAGCAGTTGCAGGCACTGAGAAAAATCTCACTGTCAAGGGTGCTCTGTGACAACACCCGCATCAAAAAGATACCCAGGGATGTGTTCAAGGTCAACAGTTACCCTGAGAACTTTGTTGACTGCCATGAGATCGACACACTTGACCTCTCACCCTGGAAAGATGAGCCTGAGAGTGGCACAAAAGGTATGAACTGCCTGAGGTCTGTCAAAACGAATAAAAACCTTACAAGGCCAGACTCCTCCATGCTTAAAGAAATAAAAGAATTAAGGTCATCACAGTGACTCTGCCACCCAGAAAGACCTTGACCATCCATTCAGCCCCATCAGGCAGCACTGGAGGCAGAAGTGTTGTTAACCTGGTCTCCTTGCAGTCCATCACCTTCACCTTCCTGTATCACCCTGCCTCTTCAGCTAGATGGGAAATCCCTGAAACCCCATATTTTCTGGCCCTTTGGAATGTATCCTTCTCTAAATACCTTATTCCAGGACAACTGGGAGTCTTACATGGGTGTCAATGAGGAAGTCAATTTGAATTAGCTAACCTGCTCAAAATTCTTACTCTGCTGCTCCAAGCCCCTGCTCTCCCCTTGCCTGAAGCTTTAAAGCATTTTTAAGGTTTATCTGTAGTTGTTTTGATACACCAGTAGTTAAACACACATAGTCAGAGACTAGGATGTGCTACATCTGAAAGACAGTAAAACAGTCTTTTCAAATGAGAGATTTGGGCACTAGCTGTGTCCTTCCACTGATGGGCTTTTGGCATGGGCTCACCAAGTTGCAAATGATACAGAAAGACACTTGTTGAAGACAGGTATGACCCCTGTGGAATGGGTGGGACTGGATTTTTCCCTTCTGGCCACTTATTTATAGATTATCACAGTACCTGGAGTGTCACTCTGTCCTTCTGCAAGGCACAGGCCACAAAACATCTCTGTATTGAGTTTGATTAACTGTATTTGAGGGAGGCTGTTGCTTGTTTGAGGGAGTCATTTGCACTTCATTCAAAGGCTAAATTATGGTGACTTCACCCCGTTCTTTAGGAACTGATTCTAGCTGATGCTCCCCACCTCTCCATACCATAGAGGTTTCCTGATTTCTTTTATTAACTTAATCTTATGGTTACTAAATTGTGCTGAGCCAGTTCCTGTGGCTCTTTGATCACCAGGCTGGGAGGAAGCCGAACTGTGTTTGCATAACCCAGAGAGAGAGAAGTCCTAGAGTGTTTAAAAGCAGCTGCTAAAGGTTTAACCTGCTCAAGTGCCCGTTGCCCTAAACCCACATATGCAAAGGGCTGGTTGATGTTAGGGCACCAGAGGCACCTTTTGACAAGCACTAGAAGCACCACAGTGTTTCCAAGGCACAAGGATACAGTGATGACCTGGCACTCAGGTACCCATTCCCCAGGGATTACTTTAAGCTATGGCGTCAAATAAAAATGTAGGGAGAAAGATTGTGCCCAGAAAAGACTTTATCCTTCCCACTTTTTCTGCTTCATCAACAGTTCCTAATCCTGCTCATCAGACCAGCCTTGAAAACTCCTAAGGGTGGCACTGAGCTGCTCTTGGGAAAGTGCTGCCTGTACATCACGCTCTGCCTGCTGCCAACTGAACCTCAGTACGTGGTCTCCCAGAGAGGACCTCAAGACTGTGGCTCCTGTTTTATTTGCTGCACTGTGATTTTGATAGAATTTATTTGTAAAAGTTTCCAGTAATGCTAGTCTTCAGATGGAAGCATAATGACCTTTTTTTTTTTTTTTTTGGTCTGTTGCCCTAAAATAATGGTCAGAGGTGTGGAAGATTTGGTCAGGTGCTGGATGCCTTATAACTCTCTAAAAGCACAATCAAGATGAATTTTTTAATTCCCATCCTAAATGGGTGTCAAAGCTGGAGGTCAGCATGCTTGCATTTCAAAATCAAATTAATTATCCTTTGTATCTGCTCAGAAATCAGCAAATTCATGTAATCTTTATCAAAACTTCCTTTATCTCTTTGTTTGGAAAAAAGCATAAACTGTTCAGGCTGTTTCTAATTAGCACTGAGATGTCACTTCTTGAAAACACTGGAGCTGAATCTTGAAGTCTACAGGCATCTTTTTTTTAAATCCTTGGTGAACATGTGTGTGTTTGGATGTGATGGGCAGTAATAAAATACACTGTGTGTCATAAAATACATTGGCACAAATTCCAGGATGTCAAACCTGTGTCCAAAACATTTATTGGCTGTGGTTCATAACTCAACATATCAGACTAAGAGAAGAACCCATAAACTGGCTGGTAGGTAAAGCACATGCATTAGGGCTAAAAATTAATCATCTGGCTGGGAAAATAATTTCCAAGTCCCTAGTAAATCAGAAAGTATCAAACCAGTAAAAATCATACTAAATTGCCATCTCACCTTGATACCACTCAAGGGAATCACAGAATCACAGACTAGTTTGGGTTGCTCCAAGCCCATCCAGCCACTTCCAGGGATGGGGCCTTCAAAGCTTCACTGAGCAACCTGGGCCAGGGTCTCACCCCCCTCATAGTGAGTAGGGGCAAGAAGGTGGCAGCCTAAGGTAGAATAATGAGCTCCATGAAGTAAAGCTTGTAGATGTAGCAGGGGCCTCTCTGATGAGACCTAATGAAGGAGATGCTGGGTAAAATCCCAATGATTCAGCACCAGCCACTGTGCTCTGCCATGGGGTGTGCTGGCACGTCATGCCCATCCCAGCCCCCCTGCTGTTCACCCATGGCCCAGGGGCCCCAGGGGACCTGCAGGACCCCAGGGGAGTGATGGAGCTTGAGGACAACTGCTCCCTGAAACACCAGAGCATGGGGAGTGGGGAAAGGCTGTGGTGACCCTGGGCAGGGAAGGCAAGACACCTTCCTTAGCCATATCAAAACCAGGGCAAAATGAGGCAGGACCCAGAAATCAGGAGCTGCAACTTCCCAAGTGCATTTGAGTTGAAAAATACATGGGTTAGGGTAAAAATGATGCGGTTATCAGGGCACAGTGAGGATGCAGGACAACACATTTCTGCTGTTTGCTTCTTGTATCTGAGTACCCAGGCATGTTCCCCTCATACTCCTGAGATCTGCCCAACCAGCCAAAGAAAAACCTTGCTTTGCTTCAAAGGAAACCTGAGAAAAGCAGAGAAATTACCACGTCCTGCAGACACATGAGGGCTTTAATCCCCCCCTCTCAAAGCTGCCTTCACTTTCTCCTCTCATGGCAGAGGTACCTCCCAGGTCCTACCCACAGAAAGAGGTAGGAGACAGTGCCTTCTCCTGCATGTGCTGCCAGAGAAATGACTCAAAGCCTGAGACAGCCACTTCCCCAAGCAGGGTGGTCATAGGCTTGGGACCTTGTTGGTTTTGGGTAAGAAAAGGCAATTATAAATGTGCAGTGAAGGGTCCAGCTCTTCTGGGGTCCAGCTGGAGAGAAGTTCTCAGGATTGCAAAGAATTGTCCAGCTGCCCAACACATCTGTCCACACCAGTAGCAGGGTGCTGTGACGTGGCAAACATTTCACCACCTTCACTTACAAGCTTTTATTCTTCTGTGGACATTTTGCCTGTCTGTGGAATGTCAGGGTTGCAATCCATGGTTGTCTCTGCTGCCAGACCTTCTTGTGGTTGCCATGTCATTCCTTCTCAGCTGCTACACACGCTGCTAGAGCCGGGAGAGAGGCTCACTCTTGGGAAGCCCCATTGATCATTCCTGATATCTGCTGGTAGGTGACGAGCATGGAGTCACGGACCTGCGCCGTGAGCTTGGGAACATCACCCGGGCCCAGCCCCAGTGTCTTCACTTCTGGCAGGATCTGGATGATGCTTGTCCCTGGAACAGTGAGAGAGAGGGTCAGAGAGGAGGAAAACAACATGAGTGGTGTAGAAGAGCAAGAGAAGGTGTAGCAGAGGGATTGGGGTAAACTGAGGAACAAGGCAGAAACCAAGGTAAGTGCCCTTCACACACCAGCAGGGGTGTAGCAACCCAGATGCACCCAGCAACAACCCAGGCCAGGCTGTTCCCACCTCCAGAGACCAAAAAAATCATCAATACAGAAACATGTGAATCCCTGCCCAAATACATCCAGTACTTCTCACTGTGGAAAGGTATCTGGGTCTGTTTAGATCATGGCAAAAAGGATGAGCTGATGTTGGAGATGTTGGAGATGTCTGTGCCCCTCCCATGGGCTGTGCCTTGATCTCTGTGTGCCAAACTCAGCAGAGTAGCCCCTTCCAGAAACGTGCTGTGGGATGAGAGAGATTGCACCCAGGACTCCCTGTTTGGCCAAGGTGTGTCTTAGTTCTCCTGAGAAGGACCTGAGCACTGGGCTGATGTAGACTGGAGGAATACCCCAGGGAGATGCCATCAAGCTGTTCTGCTCTTGCACCCAGTGGCCCTTGTTCTGGCCAGCAGAGAGAAGCTGCCTGCAGCCCCCCACCTGAGGAGCTGGGCAGTGGCTCTGCTGTTCTCTACCTTTCCTGCAAGGCTTGACACATGAGATCCAGAAGTGCTGTAGCAGGACCATGCAAGGGAGGCAGAACAGGGGCATAGAGAAGAGGTTCACAAAAGAAGAGGGCACGTCCCCTGCCTGCAGGTGGTACATCCAAAGCATCCTGGTACCTCAGCAGTCTGCTGTCCTTCATGTGACCCCACTGGAAGAGCTGAGGGATGATGGGGCTGCAGGTCTGTTGGGGTGAAACAGACTTTCAGCAAGCACCAGACTTGCTCCATGTGTGGCAGTGCACACACTGGACACTGAGTTGGGCTTTCCAGCAGCTCATTAGCTGGTGAGAGGTCTGGAGAGTAAGTCCTATGAGGAGAGGCTGAGAAAACTGGGATTGTTTAGTTTGAAGAAGAGGAGGCTGAAGGGAGACCTCATTGCTCTCTACAACTGCCTGAAAGGAGGTTGTAGGGAGGTGGGAGCTGGGCTCTTCTCTCAAGTGGATAATGACAGCATGAGAGGAAATGGCCTGAAGCTGCACCAGGGGAGATTTAGACTGGATATTAGAAATAATTTCTTCACTCAAAGAGTGGTTGGACACTGCAACAGGCTGCCCAGGGAGGTGGTGGAGTCACCAGCCCTGGAAGTGTTTCAAAGAAATGTAGATACTAGTGTTGAGGGACATGATTTAAGCACTGAGAGGGTACATGAGGTCATGAGTGGTGGATTTAGGTGATGTTGGACCTGATGATCTTCAAGGTCTCTTCTAACCAGGATGATTCTGTGTTTCCATGATTAGAACGGTCAGAGCCACCCTGGGCACAGCAAGCTGTCCTGACCTGAGGATTATCCTGCCCAATGGGCAGAAATCTTGGCAAAGTGTAGGACATTGTCACAATCAGCCCTGGCAATCAGGCAAGTGGGAAAAGTGGGGAGGTGCAGGAAAAGCCAACTGAGGTTCTTTCTTCCTCAGTGAGGGTTCTACCTGTTTAACAGCAGTTCAGAAAACGACTTACAGGTCAGCCAACCACAAGCTCCCAGGGTGAGGTTATGACCAAAGTACCTGCAACTGCAAATAGTTTTTCTCAAGGAGCTCAGGGAGGTTGTGGAATTTGTTCCTCCAAACTTGGCTGGAGGAAGCAGAGAGCAAACTCCTGTATCTGTAGAACTGGTCTTGCTTAAAGCAGAAGGTTCAGGTGCTTCAGAGCTGCCTCCCCACAGGATTCTTCTCTGCTTTCCCAGAGCAGGGCTCTGCCTTGTTGCCCAGCTGAGCAGGGTACTGACCTGGGGAACATTTCCAGCACCAAAAGGCTTTTGAGTGTGGTCAAAAGAGACAGAGACCCAACGGGTGAGAGATTAGGAGAAACAGACAACTGAGTGGCTAACACACCTCTCTCTCTTCCAGGTGTCTGCCTGCCAGGCAATGGCCTTGCCCAGGCACAAACAATGGGAGGAATGAGAATTTCAGAAGCAAACCCTGCCCTGAAGAAGCAGCAAGGCTGGCCTGGGGGAGAGTGGGAAGGGGCAGAAGCCCATCTTTGGGGTGGGCATCAGCAGAGGAAGTGGAGGAACAGGATGAGTTACTTTTATCTGTAGGAATTTTAACTTTTTTTCCCTGCATTTTCCCTCTGAAGCCCCAAACTTGCAGCATTTTTGTCGCCACAAACAGATGAAACGTTAACTGGGAGGGGAGACACTCTCAGGGTGACTTCTGCTGAGAGCTCCCTGTTTGCTTCTGTTCCCCAATTCTCATTGCACCTGCAGATCCCAGGACAGAATGAAGGGACCTGGGGCTGGACCTGCCCCAGGACTCTGCTGTTTCTCCAGGTTCTCTCATACCAGGTGTTGGACAAGCTTTGAAAAATCAGCACAACCCCAGGCACCAATCCAGGATGGAGGGAGAAGGGCTGGAGAGCAGCCCTGAGGAGAAGGACCTGGGGGTGGGAGGAGACGAGAAGCTGGACATGAGTGACCAGTGAGGGCTGGAGCCCGGAGGGGCAATTGTGTCCTGGGCTGCATCACAAGAAGTGTGTCCAGCAGGGCCAGGAGGGGATTCTGCCCCTCTGCTCTGCTGTGGTGAGATCCCACCTGGAGAGCTGGGTCCAGCTCTGGTGCCCTCAGCACAGGAAAGATGGAGCTGTTGGAGAGGGTCCAGAGGAGGACAACAAAGATGATCAAAGGGCTGGAGCAGCTATGAGGACAGGCTGAGAGAGTTGGGGTGTTCAGCCTGGAAAAGAAAAGGCTCCAGGGAGACCTTAGAGCACCTTCCAGTGTCTGAAGGGGCTCCAGAGAGGATGGAGAGGGACTTTTCACCAGAGAGGGCAGTGACAGGGCAAAGGGGAAACAGTTTTAAACTGAAAAAGGGGAGATTTAGGTTAGAGATGAGGAAGAAATTCTTCAGCATGAGGGCAGTAAGGTGCTGGAATAGGTTGCCTAGAGAAGCTGTGGATGTTCCCTCCCCGGAGGTGTTCAAGGGCAGGTTGGATGAGGTTTGTGCAGCCTGGTGGGAGGTATCCCTGCCCATAGCAGGAGGGTTGGAACCTGATGATCTTTAAGGTCCCTTCCAACCCAAACCATTCTGTGATTCCATAATTAAATCCAAAGGAAGAAGCAAGAGCGATGCTTGAAATCTTCCACTCCCTCCCCTCTTGAGAAGACAGCAACTGCTGTTGCCTGTCTGCTATCTCCACATCACATGTGATCCTCTGCCCACCCACCTCATGGCTCCTTCCAAGGACTGAGCTCACACCCAGCCCTCTCTTTGCCCCAGGTCATCCTCACCTCGTGTAAATCTCTTCTCTTTCTGGTTGTAGAAGTCACAGTAGGAAGAGATCACTGCAGGAATAACGGGAACCTGGAGGGAAGGCAAAGCAGTGAATCGACAGATTTCACCATTCCTTCCCAGAATGGAACTGGTAAATCCTTCACCTCACTGATATTTATCCCAGTCAGCTGAATAATAAACCATCGGAGGGTTATTGGGATATTTAGATCATTGAACTATAACACACAGTGTCCTTGATGTTGGTTTTTGCATTTTACATGGGCTATTAGGAACAATTTATTTACTGAAAGAGTGGTCAGGCCCTGGAACAGGCAGCCCAGGGTGGTGGTGGAGCCACCATTCCTGGAGATGTTTAAAACATGTGTGGACATGGCACTGCAGGACATGGTTTAGTTGGCATGGTAGTGTTGGGTTGGCAATTAGACTTGATGGCCTTTTCCAACCTTAATGAATCTATGAATCTAAGACCTTCCTTTCTGTATTTAGGCCAACAATGGATGGCCAAATCAGTCTGTAGCAGGAACTGCCCTCCAGGAAAGGTCCAAGGGTCTTGTCAAGGTCCCCCCAGATTTTTCTGAAGCTGAGACATGAAGATTTTCCACTTGTCCCAGAAACAGGCCCCTCCTATGTCACCTCCAAGGTCCTAATGGACTCCTGGATGCGTGATCAACCCAAAGAGAAGCCAGGGAGCAGAAGCCACAGAGCCCTGGTTGTTGGTGGACCATAGTAAGCAAACCACATCCCAAGGGGCAGGAGGAAGGTGGCTCTTACCTGAGCTTTCACAGCCAGCTGGAAGGCCCCACTTTTGAAAGGCAACATGGAGCCATCATGATTTCGCGTTCCTTCAGGGAAGATCAAGACACGTAACTGCAGGGGGGAGGAGACATTGAGATGGAGGCACCTCCAGTTACTGTTCTAAGGCACTGCACAGTCATACTCCCCTGGGACTGATCTTTTGGCCCCTGAGCATGCAGAGACAACCTCTTTCTCCACTTTAACTCAACCCACCAGAGATACTCTCACTCTGCTCTGTGCAGTGCTCAGCCCAGAGACAAAGTTCCCTTTCCAGCCACATCAAGGTTCATGTTTTTCCAGTGGCTCCTCACCAGAGTCCTCCCCACTCACATTTTCTTTGTGCAGGGAGTGGGCCACCTCTGTCAAGGTACTGATAGACTCTTTCTTCTTCTTGCGGTCAATGAAAATGAGCCCTGCAAGCCAGCAGGCCAGGCCAAAGGTGCCCATGTACAGGATCTCCTTCTTTGTGATGGGCGCGCAGCGGTTTGGTAAGATGTCCATCATCACTGGAAGAGGAGAACAGGACAGAACAAGCTCTCATCTGCACTGAGGTTTCCTCCAGATTCTGGGCTGCAGCCCTTTGCTGTGGGAGCTGCCTGCCTTGGCTGCAGCACCCATCCAGCTTCAGAGGATCAGAAACATGTTGGGAAAGGGATTCTGGGGATTTCCAGACCAACCACCACTGAGAGGACCAATGGCATCATTGAATGGAGCAGCTGTGACACAGCTGAGCTAAACTGACACTGTCATCCCAGCTCTCTTGGAAAAGACAAAGCTGACTGAGTTTGAAAATACCTCTAACAGCCTGTAGAGCAACACTGGCTGTGACACCCTGGAGTAGCCAGCATGGATGCACCAAGGAGAGATCATGCTTGACTAATCTGACAGCCTTCTATGATGTTGTGACTGATGGACAGATGCAGGGAGAGCAGTGGATGTGTCTACCTTGACCTGTAACTAGTGGAGTCCCTCAGGGATCAGCGCTGAGTCCAGTCCTGTTCAACATCTTCAACAACAACCTGGATGAGGGGACAGAGTGTAGCCTCAGCAAGTTTGGTCATGACACGAAGCTGGGAGGACTGGCTGTTGCACCGGAAGGCTGAGCTGCCATTCAGTGAGATCTAGACAGACTGGAGAGCAGGGCAAAGAGAAACCTCATGAAGTTGAACAAGAGCAAGTGCAGAGTCCTGCACCTGGGAAGGAACAATCAAATGCATCAGTTCAGGCCAGGAGGTTGATCTGCTAGAGAGCAGCTCCATGGAGAAGAACCTAAGGGTCCTGGTGGACAACAAGTTATCCATGGGACAACAATATGTTTTGTGACCAAGAAGGCAAATGGGATCTTGGGGTGCATCAGGAGTGTGTCCAGCAGGTCGAGGGAGGTTCTCATCCCCCTCTACTCGGCCCTGGGGAGAACTCACTTGGAGTGTTGTGTCCAGTTCTGGGCTCCCCAGTTCCAGAGGGACAGGGATCTACTGGAGAGAGGCCAAGGGAGGCTACAGGGATGATGAAGGGACTAGACCTGCCTGAAGAGGAAAGGCTGAGAGACCTGGGGCAGTTTGGTCTGGAGAGGAGAAGACTGAAGAGGGATCTAATCAGTATCTATAAATATCTGAAGGGTGGGGGTCAAGAAGACAGGGCCAATCTTTTTTCAGTGGTGCCCTGTGATAGGATGAGGGACAACGGATTCAAACTGGAGCCCAGGAAGTTCCACCTCCACATGAGGAAGAACTTCTTTGCTGTGAGGGTGACAGAGCCCTGGGACAGGCTGCCCAGAGAGGCTGGGGGGGCTCCCTCTCTTGAGACCTTTCAGACCTGTCTGGATGCCTTTCTGAGTGACCTGCCCTGGTTTTGGTCCTGCTCTGGTTGGGGGATTGGACTCAATGATCTTTGGAGGTCCCTTCCAGCCCCCAACACTGAGTGATCCTGTGAAATCAGCCCTGGATGGGGTGGCTGGCAAGGACGACGTAGCAGCCACTTCTGCCTCTGTGCTGGTGGTGTGTGGGGCTTGATGCTGCCCTACGAACAGCTGGGAGCAGGAGCAGGAGGCAGGATCACCACATACCCAAAATGTCAAGGGAGGTCTGGTGATTTAACACGAGGACGAAAGGTTTCTTAGTCCTGAGGTTCTCCTTGCCCTTCACCACTATCTTGATACCCAAGATGTATTTGAGTGGCAGGAGTGAAATGCGGAAATACCTGGAAAAAGAGAGTGGGTGTTAGCAAAGACACACTGAGACTGAGCAGAGGGACCAAAGGCCAGGCTTCCCTACCAGCTCATCTCCCACTGTTCCTGCAGGGTGGCCCATTTCTCCACAGACCCATATTTGACCCATGACTTGCAGAGAAGCAACTACCATGTCTCTTGGGCTCATTGTTTCATTAAAGAAGATGTTTCATCATTTCATTTTCATGAGACCCCACCTGGAACACTGTGTCTGATTCTGGAGCCCCAACATAAGATGGACATAGAACTCTGGGAGAGAGTCCAGAGGAGGCCACAGAGATGATCTGAGGGCTGGAGCAGCTCTGCTCTGGAGACAGGCTGGGAGAGTTGGGGTGTTCAGCCTGGAGAAGAGAAGGCTCCAGGGAGACCTTAGAGCAGCTTCCAGGGCCTGGAGGGACTTTGGACAAGGTCTTGTAGTGAGAGGACACGGGGCAATGGCTTAAAATTGGAAGAGGGGAGATTTAGATTGGATATTTGGAAGAAATTCTTTGCTGTAAGGATGGCGAGACCCTGGCCCAGGTTGCCCAGGGAAGCTGTGGCTGCCCCATCCCTGGCAGTGTTGAAGGGCAGGTTGGATGGGGCTTGGAGCAGCCTGGGCTGGTGGGAGGTGTCCCTGCCCATGCAGGGGGTTGGAACTGGATGGTCTTCGAGGTGCCTTCCAACCCAAACCATTCAATGATTCTAAGACAAATACAGCAGGTTTTCTTCAAGCCAGGCAAGAACAATGGTCTGGCAATGACAGCTGCAGCAATTCTGTGTATCAGCCAAGTATCAGATAACACCCCAATCCACGGAGCACTGTTGGGACCCTGCTTCTCTGCACACCTTGAATCATCAACATATGCTGCAATAAACGTGTACCTAACTCTGCTGGTGCCCAGGCTGTGGAAATAGGGAGGAGTTTGTCTGTAGGTGACTCTGGGCTGCAATTTGGGTAGGCAGGTATTAACCAAGACCAGACAAACAACAACAAATAATAACAATCAAGAACTGAAGAAAACATCTTAAAGCAAAAGGCTGCTGCTCAGTCAGGAGATGTGAACTCCTGCTGCAGCACACAACCAATAAGCAGGCTCTGAGCAGCCTGATCTAGTGAGAGGTGCCCCTGCCCATGGGAGCTGGAACTCAGTGATCTGTAAGGTCCCTTCCAACTCAAACCATTCTATGATTCTGTGAAATCCTGCCCCTGCAGCATGTCAGGAGGCCACAGGCACTATGGTGCTGAGCAGCAGAATCAGCTTCAAGCCCCCACCTCATCCACCCTCTGTGTTACCAACACCCATCACTGCTGACCCCATGGGGGACACACAGCAGCTTAGGACAGATGGAGGGAGGGGACAGGCAGCAAGAGGATGGGGTGGGAAAATGCTGAGCTTGTGGGCACAGAACAGCAGTGATGGGGACACCAGTGACAGTGTGTTCATGTCTGTGCCTGCCTGTGCAGGTGAGCAGTGAGTGGGTAGAGCTGAGAAGGAGAGGAGCACCTGCAGAGGCTTTCTCAACACAGCTTGGAGGAGAGAGGACCAGACAGACAGAGGGAAACACAGCTCTGGAGATCAGGCAGGAGAGTGAACTGAAACAGCAAGTTCATTTACCCGTGTGCTATATCCAGTTTGTTGTGTTACATCCAGTGCCTAGTTTGTTAAATGTATGTCACCTTTTACATCCTTTCCTTTCAAAGTTCGTTGTGGAGTCTCTTTCTCTGAAGACCCTGCCTGGATGCCTTTCTGGGTGACCTGCCCTAGATTCAGTGGTGGTCCTGCTCTGGCACCACCAGAAACCAACACAAACACAGCACAGAACCCACCTCTCTTTTCTGAGCTGCAGCTCAGAAACGACCCAACCAAGTCCTCCGTGCTGCAGTGTGAGTCCCGAGACCCTCCAGAACACATCACAAGTGGACTCTGTCCATGCCCAGAGCAGAAAGAATCCACAGACAACTTACTTCATGTTCTCCACGTTACGTCCCCGAGGGATACTGCATATGATCACCAGGACGCTCAGGGTCAGGAGCCACACATTGTAGAAGGTCATCTTGCAGAAGTATTTGAATGCAGGATGCAGCTGGTAAAGGACTAGAAAGGCAACGAACAGCACAGTGAACGGGTAGTGAAGGAGCAGAAGCTCCATCCTGCCAGCTCAGAGTCCACCAGCTGAGTGTTGTTGCACTGAGCAACAGATGAATCACAAGCAGAGCTGAGATCTCCCCTTGATCAGCCACGAGTGGGTGGTGCAAAGCTGCAAGGAGACCTCGGGAAGGCTGGTTCGTGCCTGGGGGCTCAACCTGCAGGTTTAGGCAGCAGCACTGGCCAGGGTGTTGGACAAGAGCTGGGGCTGCCGGGGGTGGGGAGCACAGAGAGATAGTGTCACAGTGTAGTGGGGGTTGGAAGGGACCCCCCCTGCTACAGCAGGATCACCCACAGGAGATCACAAAAGGACATGTCCAGAAGGGCTTGGAATGTCTCCAGAGAAGGAGCCTCCACAGCCTCTCTGGGCAGCCTGGCCCAGGGCTCTGTCACCCACAAAGTATAGAAGTTCTCCCTGATGTTTAGCATGAACCTCTTGTGTTCCAGCTTGTGCCCATTGCTCCTTGTCCTGTCACCAGGCACTGCTAAAAGGAGTCTGGCCCCATCCTGCTGACACACCTGCCTTTTAGGTATTTATAAGCATTGATGAGATGCCTTGTCTGCCTCTAGGCTGAGCAGCCCCAGCTCTCCCTGCCTTTCCTCACAGGGCAGATGCTCCAGTCCTAGCATCTCTGTGATCCCTCTCTGAACTCTTCCCAGCCTTCTTGTCCTTCATGAACTGGGGAGCCCAGAATTGGACACAGTATTCCAAATGTGACTTCACCAGGGCAGAGAAGAGGTGGAGAAGAACCCTCTTTGACCTCCTGGCCACACTCTTCTTGATGACCCCTAGGATGCCATTGGCCCCACAGGCACATTTCTGGCTCATGGCTCAGGCAACAGGGGCTGCCTGGGGAAACAGAGGTTTCCTCTGCACACAAAAGCCCTGAGGTGGCTGCAAGATATGCTGGAAATCAGAAATTATGAAGGAGAGAAAGAGAAAGCCAGAAACCAGATCCTAGCAACCAGTTCCTGCCTCACACGTCTAGGGATTGAAGGAACCAATGTGACAACTGGACATTCACAGAATCACAGAATCATCACGGCTGGAAAAGAGCAAGATCACTGAGTCCAACCATCAACCCAGAAAAAACCACCATGCCCACTGGAGCATGTCCTGAAGTGTCACATCTTCATGTTTTTTAATACCTCCAGGGATGGTTTCCTCAGTGGGAGAGTGGCCAAAGTGCCACATGTCTGGACAAAAAGATAAACAGAGAAAAAGCAGCTGGATTCTTCATCAGCCTGACAGGCCTCGTTCAACCAGCTGTCACTTCAGAGGAGCAACAATAATACATTCCAGCCAGGACTGGAAGCTGCAGGTTCTCAAAAGTGAAGAGTCCGAGGACCCCTCAAACCACATGGACTGTTACCTGCAACCCAAGGAACAAGACTAAATCCCTGAGAACAGTAAAAAGGACAAGCCTCAGGATTATTTAATGAGGAAAGTGAGAAACGACATAAAGAAATTGCCTGTGTTCCTGCTCACTTGGAACCCTTCTTGTGTTTTTCATGAGAAAGCTGGACAAGGGACTACAAGCCCTTCTGCTCCCAAGGCTTCTCTGCAACCACAGGAGAGGCAACCAAAGCAAAGAGCTTTGTCCACAGCCTCCTCTCTGTCCCATCACCAGCACATGGGAAAAAGAAGCACCTCATGTGGTCAGAGTGGACCCAGGCCCTGTGACCCCCTGTACAGAGCTCAGCTCCCTTCATGGAGACTCACCATGGCTGCTTTGTGCTTACCCAAGGCAGTTACCTTCCCAGTGTGTACTGACCTTCTTAGTATCCCACCAGCATCACAAGGCCTTTCACAACTGGGTGGAGGTTGATTTGATGCACAACTGGTCCATCCTGATCTACTAGAAGACAGGTCCCTATGACATCCTGCAAGGACAGCCAGAGCTTTCAAACCAACCCTGCTGCTGTTGGGCCCCTAATGCAAGAGGAACATCTTACACAGTCCTGCACATGAAAATTCACCCAGTGTGCCAACAGGGGCTCCTCATAAACTGCCAAAAAGCTTTATTAAGTCACTGACAATAATTTTCAAATACTTCCATCAAGACTGTAAGGAACTTCTGCTCCTGCAGTGCACTGTGCGTTACCAAGCAGGAACTAAGCTGTAGCCAAGTTCGTGGCCTATCCAAAGGAGAACAGCAACTCTGAACTACAGCTGATCTACAAAAACACAAGATCCTGAACCTGAGGAGAAAACAGAAAAATGTCTCCAGCTCCAGGTGATGTCCACATAGGCAAAGCATAACCACAGAAGGACCCACATAAGCTGATTTACACATGGACCTGTTGGACCCTCAGCCTGGTCAGTTGTGAGAGGAGTGGCTCCCCATGGCATGACCCAGGTCAGGAATAACCAACATTGACTGAGCTGCTCCTTGCAGAAAGGTAACTTCCCACACTCAGAGCACTAAGGTCTCAAGAAGACATCAGATACACAAGAGCTTGAGGCGAGGTGAGTAGTTACCTGGGGCTTCAACAGCTGGTAAGAATCTCTGATGAGTATGGAAAAAGGCAAGGCCATCAAGTGATAATAAAACTTATGCCATTCCCAGCTCCCCCAGAGACACAGTCAGCTCAGATCTAACAAAATGTTTCAGCTCCGAATCCACCGATACTAAAACCCTCAATTTTATGGTTCTTCTGGTGCAAGGATCCCTAGTGCCAAGTTCCATTCTGCCTCCCTTTCAGAAGCAGTCTGGACTTGCCTAACCTGTGAGGTGTTTGCAGAAACTACAGCTCTAATAGAGCTCCCAGTTTCCAGACTAAACGTATCCATGTTCAGTTGACTCCCTTTTGCCCCTGGGTCTTTACACCCTTTTCAGAGCCTGCTCAGTTTAGATCCCTCTGAGCTCAGGAGGGGACAGGCTTGCTTCTGTCACGAGCTTTCATCGCGTGGCATGAAAGCCTCTCCTGCTCACCAAGCCACACACTGGCCAGAAGAGAGAGGTGGGGGCAGAGAAGGTGATCTAATCTAATGGGAAAAGGCCAAGAAAATTGTCATGCTCCTGGTAAGCAAATGAAGGCTCAGAAGAAAATGGACTGTTGTCAAGGCAGCAACCTTGGATAGAGAGGAGTTGCTTCAGTTCAAGATCACAATTGACTTCTAAATGTGAAAGCAATTTCAGGATGAAATTTGAAGATTGCATTTTGAAATAGAAGCCATTCATACTAGAAACTGCTGGCACAGCACCCCACTGGAGCAGACTAGAAGAAGCTACCAGAGGGTAAAGGGTTGGGACTGCTCAATGCCAAAGACCACATCAGCCACCTCAAAAGGAGAACAGCACTAAAGGGAGCTCATCTAGTGCATGCAGTTATTACTCGGTTAAACAGAGGCATTAACATGGATATTAAAGACTTCAGAGGGATTCCTGGGTATATATTCCAGGGTATATACATTAGAGAAGTGTCATCAACACTGAGCAAACTGAATTTATCATCCTCCAGTTGTAGCTTCATGATGAATCCATGTATCACCCAGTTTTACAAGACACAGATTAGCTTTGCACACCCACTTAGGAGTAAAGACCATAGGTGGAAATTTTGTAATGTCAGGAGAAGAGTTTCTGTAAGAAAATGTGTATTGACTCATGAAGATTTCTGTGGCCTTCAGACAGCCCTGACAGAAACACAATGCAACAGGCTAGAACAGCTTGTGCTATAGGACATGCACAGTGCAGCCAGGTCACCTCTGGGCTGGAAAGCAAAAGTTTATCACTGTAAATCACAGAAAAATTCAGATGTCAAGGGACCCCTGGAGGTCTGCAGTCCAATCAGCAGGGCTAGCTCCAAAACCAGGTTAGCTCACTCAGGAACTTGTCTAGGCAAATTTGAAGAATCTCCAAGGATAGAGATGCCACCAGCTCTCTGGTCCCTGTGTCAACATTGCAGCACTAACATGAGTATAATGTTTTTCTTTGTTTAATGGGAATTGCCCTGGTTGTGATCTGTGTCTATTACCTGTTATCCTTTCACTGTGTGCCTCTGAGAAGCGTCTGGCTCCACAGTTGGTCATTAGAAAGCTGAAGACTGAAATCACCTCCTCTCCCCTTCTCTAGACTGAGCAAGTTCAGATCCCTCAGCCTTTATCTGTACATCTTGTGCTCCAGCCCACTAACCACCTTCATAGGTCTCCACTTAAGTCAAGTGTAGTAGTTACTGGGAGAAGGTCCTGAGCAAGATAGACTCATGATGGACATCCATTCTCAGAGCTGAAGCATCTGGGGAAGGCTGCAGGTGGGAAAGAAAGTGCATGAAAGGCCCCATTGGAGCTGGGAGGAAGGGCTGCACCTCAGAATCAGCAGCAGAGGATGAGCAGGGCAAACCAACCCATCCTGGGCAGACCATCCCACCCCAACTCCACCAGCCAGGGCAGGCCCAGCTGTCACAGCCCCCATCCTGCCAGACGTGTCTCATGGGTTTGATGGGGCAGTTTGATCAGGTTGTTAAGCTAAATTAATTATTTTTTTTCCCCTCAGTTCCTCTGTGCTTAGTGTAGAGAGACAGACGGTGGCTGATTTTGAGCCAGTCATTTCCTGCCCCTTAACTGCTGAAGTCAAAAGGTAATAATGAGTGGAACTTCCTCTGTCTCCAAGGGCTGAACAGATGCTGGACGTGTGGGGTTGGAGTTAGACAGCTAATGCTAGAAAAATAAAGCTTGAGAGACTGAGACACCTCTGTGGGAAACTGCTCTTTTCTTCCCCAGTACCAGCTTGCAACAACTTCCCATGTAGCCAGGTGTCTGGAGACATCCCCCCGTAGTCAGGCTTCTCACACCCCTCAAATCTGTTGACTCCCTTGTATCTCTTGGCACTGGGAACTTAGCCAAGAAGCAGTGACCTTCAATCCACTCTAGGACATGTTTCTGCCTTCACAGTATGTCCAGGCTTATGTTCATCAGTCTACATGGCCCCACCATCACCCTCCACCCTGGCCAAGGGCTGGCAGAAATCAGCATCTGTCCCTGTTTTGTTTCCCTGAGACTCTTACATTTTTCCCATTTTGGGGGTGAGAAGGAGGATATGACTGTCAAGTGTTTGTTGGAACTACATCCTGCACTGGCTCTGGCTCTGAGGAATATTTCGTAGTGCCACGTGACACAGGACTCTGGGTCAGAGTCTTCAGCAAGAAACATCTTCTTTCATCAAATAATACGTGGGTTCTTGAACTGGTTTTGTCCAATAATCCCATGCAAAACCTACAACCATCCTCCACTCACCTGTGGCTTCTGCAGCTTTTACCAAATGCAAAGAACATTTTGGCCTCAGCTCAAAATTGCCATTTATTGACCAATAACAAGAACACAGCAGACTGTAGAGGAAGGGAAAAGTGGATTTGATCCCATTCAAGAAAAGATAATGAGGGGACAAAGTCAGAGTCAAACTAGATCAGATTTTACTCTTTTAAGACTGTTCTTATCTTTGCCAGGACACACTCCACCAGCTCCACAGCCCAGGTTCATGCCAAGCTGCAGGAATGACTTGTGGGTTTTGGTCTCACTAAGTGATGCCCCAGGCACTCTGGGCTAGGGGCAAAAACTGATGAGAAAACAGCTTTCTTCCACATAGACAATTTCTTCATTCCACCTTCAAGCAAAACCTGAAGCAGGTTAAATAAATCTATTTGGGGACCATGGCAGCTATTTCTGCTTCACTCAAAAGTACAGAGAAATCAACAGATTTTCTCTGGAAACTGAAATGCATACTTGTTTAAAGCAAAAATAAAAATGGAGAGCAAGCATAAGCAGCCATTCCAATGCCCCAACCTCTTTCTGTGTGGGTTGAAAACTTCAAAAGGAGGGTCCAAAACATGTTTTTGACAGGAAAGCTTCTTGAAGCACAGTGTATGTGAAATAGCCTAAGCCAGCAACTGGTTTGATTGGGAGAGAGTCTCTGGAGAACTCATTTTGCTTTGCTTTGTGATATGGAGTGATGTGCAGAGATCTGGGACATCTTTTCATGGAGTTCTTTGATCACTGGACTTCATCTCATGGAGAAGGCTTCATGCAAACTAACAATGCCCAAACATTTCAGGCCATAAAAGCATATGCATAGTAAAAAACAATAATCCATCTCAGCAGGTTACCAAGTCTGGACTTCTGGGGCATCCTCAATGATCAGCATTGAAAGTCACCAATGCTGCTTCTGCAGGACACAAAAAGCCATGTGTTAACAAAAAAGAAAAGGACATGTCATAGCTCCCTGTTATCATGTGTGAATTATTTCCACAGGTTAATCTGGAAAAGGGGATCAATACCACTGGTGTTAGTCCTGATTTCTTTAAAGACCTCCAGGGATCCCTCCTGGACAACAAGATCCTCCAGACATCACTTTTTCTGGCACCATGGGGATGGCATTTATGGGTGTACCCTGACACCCTTTAAAGCTGATAATCTCACATCCCTGCAGAGAATATAAGGAAGACTCCTCAGGGAAAGTGGGAGCTGGCTGCAGAGGGAGTTGTCTGAGCCCTTAATGATTGCTGTTAGCTGTAGAGGTTTGCTCCTCACAGCCTGGATATCATCACCGCAGGGCCTGTCAGAGCAGAGGAAAGGTGTCTTTTTAGGAGAAGGCACAGATGTCCCTGGGGTGCTGAAGCAGCCCATCTTTCCCCTGCTAGAGCCACTCTCACCTATGTCTGCTTCCCAGGGGTTTATAGAATGCTGGGTTGGGTTGGAAGGCACCTTTAAAGGTCATCTAGTCCAACCTCCCTGAAGTGAGCAGGGACATCTTTAACTAAATCAGGCTTTCAAGCTTGACTTTGAATGTCTCCAGGGATGGGGCCACCACCACATCTCTGGGCAACCTGTTCCAGTGTTTCACCACTATCATAGTAAAGAACTTCTTCCTAATGTCTGACCTGCACCTACCCACCTCTAGTTTAAGACCATTGTCCCTCATCCTATTGCTCCACACGCTTGAAAACAGTTCCTGCTCAGCTTTCAGAAAGCATTTTGAAAGAAAACACTAAGCCTCAAGAACTTCACAAATCCTGAAGGCAGCTGAGGGAAAACTCTAAATGCAGGCAAAAATTTCCCTACTAGAGATCAACCCCCACAACCTCTTCTACAAAGTGGGGATCTCTCTTCAAGTCTGGAGGTGCTTCTGTTTAGGCCAAGACGTGCTGCCAGAAGACAGAGCTGATCTGGGAATCGCTCCCTATGCAGAAAAGCAAAGAGCTAAACTGAGAAGGCAGATAACCAGAAAAATCCCAGAGCAAAGCACTGAGCTTGGTTTTGGAATCTTGATGGTGGGAAATCCTTGTGCCAGAGGAGCTCCTGCATGGACCTGATGAAATGGAGTATCCAAAGGTGTGCCAGCTATGTGCCTGTAGATATGCTCAGACCTGTGCTGGGCAGCTCTGTGCTGTTCCAAGCTTGTACCTTGCTCTGCCAGTTCCTCAGTCCCCTGACTTCCAGGCTCTGAGGTCCAGCTTTGGGATGTGTGTGCAGCTCACAAAGCCATGAGGGAATCTGTTGGCCAGGAAGATATTTCTTGGTACTTTAGAGATGCCAGTGTTGTCACATATTATTCGTGACAAGGAGACTTTGGCCAGTGAAGAGAGTTGCTGAGGAGTGAAAACTCCTCTGTTCCTCCAAAAAAACCTGCAGGAGAAAGAAGACCCAACAAATTTTTCCTTTCTGGCTTCTTCACATTCAAGACTGCAAAATTATATCCCATTAACACAAACCACATATTCCTTTTGCCAAGAACAAATTTACATTTCTGTTACTTAAATCAAGAGCCCTGACTCACCAGCTGGATTATTTAAATTGCTTTTCTGCAATGGACATGCAATAAAGATGCAATTAAATTAAAGCCTTGCCCTGTGCTCCCTTCAATGAGGCACACATCCCTCTCTCTCAAACAGAAAAGTCAGGACATACCAAACACAGAGTGTGGTTACAGACACATGATTGCCTTGCTGGCACCAGCCCAATAATTACTCTAATGAAAAACAAACTGGGTTCCTGGATCCTGACATAAGAACAGGATTTCTACATGTGCAGTAGAGTGTTTGCCTTTAAGCTCCCAAAACTGGATTTTGAGCACTTAATTAAGTCTTCTAAGCAGAAAACTTCCTGGAAGCATTAGTCATAATCTATTTTCAGGCAAACTGGCTGTCCAGGATGGGGCCCTTGCCTCAGAAATGCAGCTGGAAATGGGGCACATAACTCATTTCTGTACCTGATGCCCCATAGCAAATCCAAGGAGTAGGAGGACTTCAGAGATGTTGAAAGCACAACACTGCTCAAGTGATTTTGGCTGGCAAGCAAACCCCAATGCACCCAGCCCCTGGTGCACATGAAGCCCAAATGCTGCCATATGTCAGATCCTAGAGGCCCAATTCACATCTGGGGTGGAAAGGAGAAATGGTGAAAAATCATATCTGAGACCCCTGGGAAGAACATATGACACTGGTGTAAAGCTGCATACTGCAAACTCAGGAGATGGGAATCATAGAGTCATAGGATGGTTTGAATTGGAAAGTACCTTGAAGACCATAGAGTTCCAATCCCTCTGCATGGGCAGGGACACCTCCCACCAGCCCAGGCTGCTCCAAGCCCCATCCAACCTGCCCTTCAACTCTTCCAGGGATGGGGCAGCCACAACTTTCCTGGGCAACCTGGGCCAGGGTCTCACCACCCCCATAGGAAAGCATTTCTTCTGAAGATCTCATCTAAATCTCCCCTCTTTCAGTTCCAAAACATTCCTATCCTTGTCATATCACTCCCTGCCCTTGTCCCAAGTCCCTCCCCAGCTTTCCTGGAGCCTCTTCAGGCACTGGAAGGTGCTCTAAGGTCTCCCTGGAGCCTTCTCTTCTCCAGGCTGAACACCCCAACTCTCCCAGCCTGGCTCCACAGTAGAGGTGGATCGATGCTTCACATTTACAGGGCACAGCAGCAGAAGGAGCAGTCCTTCCGAGAGCAGACAGGGATGCTGCCAGCACCAGGGAAGCACCTAAGGCTCAGTTGGGACCTAACCAAGAGAAAACAATTAATCTCTTTTACTTGCAAAGCCTGGAACTGTGTTAGTCCTTCAGCAACATCCCTTGGTCTGCAGGCATATTTTCAAAACTACCCACATCAACAGGATGCCAGGTTCTATGGAGCTTGGAGCAACCTGGTTTAGTGGGAGGTGTCCCTGCCCATGCAGGGGGGTTGGAACTAGATGATCTTTAAGGTCCCTTCCAACCCAAACCATCCTAAGATTCTATGCCAAAGAGCACCTACTGTCAGCACAGCCTGACAGCTTTTCTCCTAAGGAATCTTAGCCTAGGATCTCAACTCAACTCTTCCAGGGATGGGGCAGCCACAACTTTCCTGGGCAACCTGGGCCAGGGTCTCACCACCCCCATAGGAAAGCATTTCTTCTGAAGATCTCATCTAAATCTCCCCTCTTTCAGTTCCAAAACATTCCTATCCTTGTCATATCACTCCCTGCCCTTGTCCCAAGTCCCTCCCCAGCTTTCCTGGAGCCTCTTCAGGCACTGGAAGGTGCTCTAAGGTCTCCCTGGAGCCTTCTCTTCTCCAGGCTGAACACCCCAACTCTCCCAGCCTGGCTCCACAGTAGAGGTGGATCGATGCTTCACATTTACAGGGCACAGCAGCAGAAGGAGCAGTCCTTCCGAGAGCAGACAGGGATGCTGCCAGCACCAGGGAAGCACCTAAGGCTCAGTTGGGACCTAACCAAGAGAAAACAATTAATCTCTTTTACTTGCAAAGCCTGGAACTGTGTTAGTCCTTCAGCAACATCCCTTGGTCTGCAGGCATATTTTCAAAACTACCCACATCAACAGGATGCCAGGTTCTATGGAGCTTGGAGCAACCTGGTTTAGTGGGAGGTGTCCCTGCCCATGCAGGGGGGTTGGAACTAGATGATCTTTAAGGTCCCTTCCAACCCAAACCATCCTAAGATTCTATGCCAAAGAGCACCTACTGTCAGCACAGCCTGACAGCTTTTCTCCTAAGGAATCTTAGCCTAGGATCTCAACTGTGATAGATCCAGCCAGAGAATAACATCATCAGAAACAGAAAAGCACATTTGGAAGAGTAATGAGGAAAACACTCCAAAAAACCAAAAGCAACTGGAACAATTTCCAAATCTGTGTAAAGGAATCCACATCAACTGCAGTCTCCTTCTGTCCTCTGGGATTTGGATACCCAGCTCCTCTCTTACCTGTCCCCATCACGAACGTTCCTGAACTGGGTACCAATGAGACAAGCCATGAGAGGCCCAACTCTGCCTCCAGGCACAAAGGGCTCTGCCAGTGCCCCAATCCATATGTCAATATTCTTTGGTGTCCCATACAGCTGTATGAACTTCCTTGCCAGGTCACGATTCCTCAACACTACAGCAAGTGTCTTCACATCAGAAGGTTGTGGAAGACCACAGAAATGTCTCCAGGAGGTATAACCTGCAAGTAGTTGGGTATCAGAGCAGACACATCAGCAACATTTTCCACTCTCTTGGAAAGACTTTTCCCTCTCTCAAAGCCCACAGGTAGGGCCCTAATATTTTCAAAACCTTTTTCTAAAATGGTCAATATTTCTGTTAATGCCATCGAGTTTCCTCCAGAGCCAGCCTGGCAATTCAGTGCTGTGCGTGGAAGGGCCATGTCTTTGCACGTCATCTCTGCCAGTGGGAGCTGCTCCACCACCTTCCAGCACCGTTTTGCTGTTTCACTCAGAGTGCACAGGCTCCAGGGCCATGGTGGAGCTGAAACAACCTCCGGGTGATGTGACCAAGGAACTGTGGGAGACCCATACCCTGCTGAAGCTGCAGCAGACAGCAAGAGGAGCAACCCCATGGCTTTTCAAAGAGCTAATGAGACCTGTGTTCAGGTACCTGATCCTGTATGTGCAGTGACTGCTCCTAACCCTGTGCTGTGAGTGTCCAATCTGGGCATGCTGGATGGCTGCCCCATCCTCACTGCCACCCAGGAACACTGTGGGAGCTCAGGGACTGTACAGAGACCTATAGGCAGAGCCACAGTGAAGAGGTCCTCACAAAACTCACTGATGTTGCCTTCACTGAAAGTGAATCTAGGCAACATGCAGATGTTACCTCTGCTCAATAGGCTTGTGGCCAAGTGTTCCCCAAAGCTGGTGTCATGTGTGTTCCTGTCTAACCACATGGACAAGACATCCCATGCTGCAAAGAGTTCTATGCAGCCCATGTTACTCTGGGTGGGGAGAAGGCCACTGGAGTTGGCCAGCTGGACAAATTTTACTGTACTACAAACAGCTGAAAATGCACAGGACCACAACTGGTACATATTTCTGCATCTTTGTGGACAGGGCATGTACCCAGCAAAGGACAATCTGAGAGCCAGTGTCTTGCCAAATAATCACTTGAGTAGAGGAAAAGTCTGTGGAGCACCTGCAGTGTCCTCCTACCTGCCACCTGGGCAAACTGTGAGGTGCAGATGAGATGATGCTGCAGCAAACATCTCCACTGCAGGCAGGATGGCTAAAAACTGGGGAGAACTCAGAGGAAATGACACAACATATGGTGCCCGGATGACACCACCATCTGTTCCAGGAGACTGAACATTTGCTTTATCAGAAGCCTTTTTGAACTTGCTATATCACCATCAACTTCAGAGGTGGTCTAACAACGAGTGGGCTGGAACCAAAGGTTAGGAGCTAAACACAAATTCCCACTAGATATACATGCTGGTTCCACTGCAGCAGACCAGCAGTCAAGGCTGGTCTGCATTCACAGTTGGGGTTTGTAGCTCAGATCAGCTTCTGCACAACAGATAAAGCAGAGAAAATTCCCAACCTTCTGTTGCAGCAAAGCCAGAGCAACGTCCTCACCTGCCCACACACCTGGGTGCTCTGCAAAGCCTCTGTCTGGGCTAAACCCTGTGGATCCAAAACATTTCTCATCACCATTTCTAAGTGAGCCTTATTGCTTCTCCCAGGATGTTCCTCCTGCAGCAGCTCTGGGCTCTTACATCACATCATCATACTACTCCTAATAATAATAATTCAACTGGGACACACCCGTGAGCCTCTTGTCAAGCCCTATTGACAAGCTGTTTCTCAAGACCAGCTTGCAATGCCATTATGCTGGTTTTACATCTTGACAAGCCCTCAGAGGGGTTCTGACATGTTGGTTTTTTGTTTTTGTTTCTTTTTTTCTGCAGCTCAGTCTTTATGGAGAAATGACAACAAGGTTTTCCACACCTATTGTTGCCACCTGCTCCTCTGCTCGTGCGTGGCTGGGTTGGACCTCTGCAGACACTTGGAGAGAAACCATGTGGGGGCTAATTCCACTCTTGCAAACCTGTTGCTCAACTGCTATCCCAATTTTGTCACTTAAACACCACCACAAAGGAGTCAGTTACTGAGCACTCTGGTCTGTGCCATGCCCCATGTTCTGTGCCTCCACACGCCTCCTCCAGCTCCAGCCAGGCTCTGACTTCATTGCTTCTCCTCCTATTCACTCACCCAGGGTTGCACAGAGATTATGAAAAAGCTTGGGAAGGGGTAATTTCAGCCAAGCAGGAGATGTTTCTAAATGTTCAATTCCAAGACTGCTTGATTTCCACTGGTTTTTCTTTGGAAGCTGCTCCCCCAGCCAACTCACCTGGGAGGCCGTGATCCCGGCTCCGCTGCATGTTGAGGGCAGGCAAATCAAACCCAATCCTTTCCACTTGCTCAAACATCCGATCCCGGAGCTCATCCACCACCATTTGCTGCTGTGTCATCAGCTTGGCCTGATTAGCCATTAGGCTCCTGAGATGGGGGTCGATACCACCTGCAATGGTCACACAGGCAGGTGTGAGCAGCTCAGGATGGGAAACGTGTGTGGAAGGGAGGCCGGGGTGCTGAGCGCAGCTCACGCTGCATCATAAGATTCTACTACAGGAGAATCAGTTTTCCTGCACTTCAAGCATTAAGGAGAAAATACTTTGAGTAATGTTCTTAAGAGACTACAGCAATGAAGGAACCTTCATAATGAGATGGACTGCACTTGACTGCAGAGCACAGCTCTGTGGGGAAAACCTCTGGCTGGCAGTCAAGGTTATTTAATACATTTAATGCAAACTGCTTTTAAGTTGGGCTGAAGCAGGAGCTCATCCAGAGAGGGCAGAATCACAGAATGTCAGACAGGTTTGGGTAGGAAAGGACCTCAAAGACCATCCAGCCCAACCCCCCTGCATGGGCAGGGACACCTCCCACCAGCCCAGGTTGCTCCAAGCCCCATCCAACCTGCCCTTCAACACTGCCAGGGATGGGGCAGCCACAGCTTCTCTGGGCAGCCTGGACCATCCTCAGCATAGAACATTCCTTTTCATGTTCAACTGATCCCCACCCTCATTCAGATTAATCATACAGTCATGGCTTTGGATTGGAAAGAACCTTAAAAATCATCCAGTTCCACCCCCCCCCTGCATGGGCAGGGACACCTCCCACCAGCCCAAGTTGCTCCAAGCCCCATCCAACCTGCCCTTCAACACTTCCAGAGAGGGGGCATCTACAACCTCCCTGGGCAAACTGTTCCAGCATCTCACCACCCTCACAGGAAAGAACTTTTTCCTAATGTCCAACCTGAATCTTCCCTCTTTGAGCTTCAAAATTTTCCCCCTTGTCCTCTCACTACACACCTGTGTAAGAAAAGGCTGGATGAAAAAAACTTACACCTCAGAGGGACAAGAAAGACTTTACCTTCTGTCAGGATCCTCCAGACAGCAAAGAAAGTGCTTCTGAGTGGAATTGGGGGACCTCTGGGCTTGTAATTTTCATTTAGGCGCTCAACAGCTGGGGGGACTGAAGCATGAGCAAACCGAAAAGCCAGGGTGAAGACGTTGGATATTCGGGGATCCACAAACTCGTTGTAGCCCCGGTAGGGAGGAATGTATCTCCGGAAACTTGCTCCCAACAGAAGAGGCAGGTAGTCCCTGTAGGTTATAATCTAGGGGGAAAGAAGGAAAGTACAAATCATTCACTGCTTGGCCACCAGGTTCTCCAGAAGCAAAGTTCTTTTTGCTGTCTCAGGCTACAGGAGCTGTCCCACTGGGCTTCTTTGATAGGGTTTATGCAAGAGATTTTGCAAGCACAGAGAGAGACTCCCAAGGTCCCATGTTTCATTCACCTCATTGGACCTTTACCCAGCTGCTCTGATAGTCTGGTGAGGATCCCTTCTGACACTGATGAGTGACATTTTTGTTTCTTCATCTCTGTGGCCTTTGTTCAAAGCCTCTTCTTCACTTGACCACTGTACCATGCAGCTCCAGGCACTGCAGGACACTGCCTGGGCTCCTGATTTCTCCAGCCATGCATGGTGGAAGCTCTGCACCCTCTAGCAGTGATGAGATTTGCAGGAACATGCAAAGTGGACATAACTGCTTCAGCAACATCAGGCACTGCTCATGCCTGACCCACACTCATCCTTTGCCCATGCACCAGGATCCTGTGCCTGTTGGTGCTGAGGACTTGGCACTCGGGTGCCTCCCTACCTCAACAGCTTGGCAGGTCAGAGTCTGCCAAATCCTCCCAGACATTCCCTCGTCCTACGGGCAGAAGCCATTCCCAGCAGCCAGGTAGAAATGCATTTCCTCCTCCCTCTCATCCTACATGCTTCAGGCGTCAGAAAAAGTCAGCACTGATAGCACCAATGATACCACCACCCACGAGCAGCTGTGCTGGCAGAACTTTTCGACCCTGGTCTCATGTCTCTTTGGGATAACTGAGGAGGTTGCACAATACAATTTTAAAAATTCAAATTCTTTGTCACTAGGTGGAAACGTCTTAATGGTGTGAAAATTGCAAGAAGATGAAACCATTGATCTAAAGATGATGATGGACACAATGCTTTTAGTGCAAGTGTTTCAGTCTCCCCACCTTGCCTTACCCAATGTAACTCTTCAACAATCTATAACACTTAAGTTGACAGTTTTTAAAACTTCAACCTTTTGATATTCCTGCTTTTCTGTTTGCATGTTTTTTTCTTGAACCAGCTCAGCAGACAGGTTTCCATGTTGCTATGACCAAGCACTGCCTTTGGAAATCCCATGATCTCTCAGAGAAGCCAGCCTTTGCTGTTGGCTGTGAAACCACATCTGGTTTTGAAGTTGGTCTTGCTTCAAACCAGAGGATAAACAAGACACATTGAGAGGTCCCTTCCAAGCACAGAAGTATTTCTGTTACCCTCTGGTCTCATTCAGAGTGAAGTCTGTGATGCAGCACAGTCTCAAGGGGCGCTTTGCCCCAGAGGGGTTAGGACAGAGCAATGCCATGGCTGGTTGCCCCCACAAGCACATTGAGCTTCTTGAGAGGAGGAAGCTCACAACCCAGAGGAATTTTGATCCAAATCTCCAGTACCATTTTTATCCTGTATCCTGGTTAGAAAAACTCTTCCTTCGACTTTTCTGTCCCCATGTTTCTCAAATAAAAATGTGCAGTGAAAAAGCTCTCAGGTGATTTGGAAATTCAACAGTAGAGGGACATCAAAGCTTCAGGGGGACCTCTCTGTGATTTCAAGGATCCCTGAGTGATTTTGCTTTGGGTAAAAGGGGCTGGTGGAAAGAAGTTGGTCATTTGCATCCCAAAATGCTGCACCCTCGGGACACCCCATGCTAACAGAAGGAGAGAATTCAGAAGAGCTGGGACATACAACATGGTGGCTGGTACCTGGATCATGGCACCTAGGATCTTCCGTGCCTCCTGGTAGAGCTGCTCTCCCTTCCAGTTGGGATTCAGCCTCTTCAGACTCCTGGCCAGGCGGTTGTGCTCCCGCACGAAGAGCGTGTGCATGCAGGCCAGCTCCAGCATCTCGCTCGCTCGAGTGTCACCTAGGAGTGTCACAGGTGAGCAGATGTGCCCTGTCAGCCACATCCTGTGCTTGGCTGCTTCCCACCAGAAGGAGACAAATGTCACTTTGGGAAGAAGACACGGAGGAATTTTCAGATGTCTCAATATATGCATGGTGAAGAAGATGGTGAGAAACACACAGGAGAAGGAAAACAGGGTCTGGGCCCCCAGTAGATGAGAAGCTGGACATAAGCTGGACATGTGTGCTGGCAGCCCAGAAACCAACCATGTCCTGGGCTGGACCACCAGCAGTGTGACAAGCAGGGTGAGGAAGTGGATTATCTCCCATCTGCTCTGCTCTGCTGAGAGCCCCCTGCAGGACTGGGGCCAGTTCTGGGGTCTCCAGCACAAGAAGGACATGGAGCTCTTGGCCACAGAGATGATCCAAGGGCTGGAGCACCTCTACTATGGAGACAGGCTGGGAGAGTCAGAGCTGTTCAGCCTGGAGAAGAGAAGGCTCCAGGGAGACCTTATTGTGGCCTTTCAATACTTCAAGGGAGCCTATTAGAATGATGGGGACAGACTTCTCAGCAGGGCCTGTAGTAACAGGATGAGGGGGTGATGGTTTTAAACTGAAAGAGGGGAGATTTAGACTAGATATTGGGAAGAAATGTTTTACCCTGAGGGTGGTGAGACCCTGGCCCAGGTTGCCTGGGGAGGTGGTAGATGCCCCATCCCTGGAAACATTCCAGGTCAAGTTGGATGGGGCTGTGAACAACCTGATCTAGTTGAGGATGTCCCTGCTCACTGCAGGGGGTTGGGCTAGATGGCCTTTAAATGTCCTTGCACCCCAAACCAGCCTGTGATCCTATGACTCTATAGAAGCCACATTTCTGCTGAGGCAGCAAAAGCCAACATGCCCTCATGGTTATGCTCAGCCTCAGAGAGATGGAGAAGGTCTTTTTTCTAAAGGGATAGGAGCATTAACTTATGAAGTTAAACACAAGTAGGTGTTCTCCAGGCTCCCCTATGAGAGAGACAGTGTCTCGGCTCAAGAGAGGAATGAAAATGGGCAGAGGGAAGTCAGGATGGCAAGGGAACTTGAAAGTCCAACAGCATCCTTGAATCCAGCTGAAACTGTGGCCAGACCAAGATGAGAGTCACAGTCAAGCTCCTTGGCTAGTAAAAGGAAAAGCAAAATTAGTCACAACTGGAAAGAATAAATGACAAACAGCATCACCATGAAGTGTGAAATCCTTCTTCAGACATCTAGGGCAGGAAGCCCAAGAGCATGCAGGTGATGAGAGCACAAAGAGGCACTCAGAGAAGAGGAAATCTGTTGTATTTAGTCCCCCAGTAAATAGAGGGATTTGCTCTTGCATTCAGAACAGAGCCCTTTTCATCTCCTCTCAAAGGCTGGCTGGGACAACCCGCGGCAGAAGAGACAAAAGCAGCACTGTGTGGTTTCCTCCAGCAGAATGCACCAACCCGGGGCTCCCAGCAGAGCTCCAGGAGGGAATCACTGACCTCTGTTGGGCAACTGCCCACGTGGAAGTTCCCCAGTTCTCAGGGGCTGGAAAAGCCACAAATAAGAGATGGAATCTTCAAAAGGAGCTTCTGATCACTGATCCAAACTGATCACTGAAGCCACTGATGGATCTGTGTCCAGCTCTAGAACAGATACTGGAGCTGCAGAGGCCTGGGAGCCCACCTGGGAAGCATCCATATGCCTTCCCCTTCTGCTCCTTACTGAGCATCTGCCTTTGACCACAAGTCCTGCATGGGACTGGGGAAGCAGCTGAAGACATGGAACAACAGCTGGGACAGAAGGAGAGGTATAAGAGGCTGGAGGACACATAAAACACCAAAAGCTTATAGGGAGGGGGCTGGAGGGTAGAGCACTCCCACTGGTCCCACCCGCAGGGACCATGGGGATGTTGTTGAGTGGAGCTTGGGTCAGATATGTAGGAAGCCAATGGACCAGAAATCAGCTCCACATCTGATGAGATCTGTTATACCCTCAAGCTTTCTCTGGCAGTACCATGAGCAGCCCAGTGTGGCCAAAGCCAGGAGGAGTTAGCCAGGAGCTCCTGCTCACCAAAAGAAAAGGACCAGGGAGTGACACAATAATTCACATGATGTATCAGGAACATTCCTCTCTGGGGTCCTGCAGGCTTGTGGAAACACCCTGGTCCTCACCAGCAGGGGCTGGGAAGAAGGGAGCAACGTTTAGAGCTCCAGGAGGTCAGTTATCTTGTCTCTGTGTCCTGGGGACAGGACAAGACAGCAAATGGCAGCAGATGGAAAGGCTGTGATGGCTTTGCAGTGTTTTGGCTTTAGGAGGCTGTGCCCATGACAAAAGGAGTTATCTGGGGTTGGAAAAGTGGTCAAGAACATGACAAAGGATAAACAGAGCAGGAGGCTGATGGACTGAAGGCCTGTGTGAAGGTTACTGTGCTGCCAGTGCCTCCTCAGCCTTCTCAGTGCTGCAGACATATCTTAAAAGGTCACCTGGGCTTGTGGTGAGCCTCATCCTGAGTCTGTCTTGGATCTAATCTCCTCTCATACTGCAGCAGATGCCCTGAGGTGCAGCAGGACAGGTGAATGTTTTGTGGAGGTGTCCCAGCACCAACACACCTGTACCCATCCTGCTGGAAGAGAGACAACCCCCAAATGACAAGTATGGACAAGCTGTTCCCTTCAGGCCAGTTTGCTACTGCTGCATTTGCTCAGCTCCATCCTGGCACTAGCTCCCAGGTCACCTCCAGCAGCCCTATGTGCCTCCTGGGCCTCACACCAGAGATGCTAAGCACAGACAGGACAGCTTCACTCCAGGAACACAGAAACAAGAAGAATAATTTGGAGATGGCAAAGAACCTGTCTTCTACCTAGCACAGCCTGTCTCAGTCTTTCATGATGCTTTGCTATGCTCCATATTCTACTTAATTTAGAGAAACAAACAATTAAGATGTGAAGTGGAGCTGGTGGAATTGTTCTCTCTGGATTTCAGGGTTAGGGTGCCAGCACCCAACTTACCTGCAAGAAAACAAGGAATCTGACGTCCCCTGCTGGCTTTGAGACAGGGCTCCTTCCTCATTGGGCCGAAGGGCATGTATTCCCTCCCTTCATCAGTGAAGTTCTGGTTAACAGCCAGCAAGCCCAGCTGGCTGGTCAGGTTCCTCAGCCTGCTGGCCCTGGGCTCCTCGCTGCCGTACCAGACGCTGCCGTCCTTGATCTGCTCCCGGGTGGCCCTGCCTCTGGTGCAGGCAGGAGCTGAGCGGAAGAAAGGAAGGCAATCTCTGGTGTCCTTAATCCGTGGGTCATTGGGTGGGATCTGCCAGGAGGTGGAAGAGTAATTCAGCACAAGTTCTGGGCTGCAGGAAGTGCACCGTGGTGCTGCAGCCATAGGACGAGCCAAGCAGGAGCCATTTCAAAGACAGTCACCATGATGTTGAGCATGGAGATCAGTCATAAGCCCCAGAGCTGAAGGGTCAGATTGAGAGCTGAGCTCCTATTTTAGGATAAATAGCAGGAGAATCTGGAGATTCCTGAATCTCCATAAAGTCCTATGGATGCCTAAACTTTTTCCCCTCAATACAGACCCATAGAATGGTTTGGGTTGGAAGAGACCTTAAAGATCATCCAGTTCCAACCCCTCTGCCCTGGGCAGACACCTCCCACCTGAGGGCTTGGAGCAACCTGTGGGACACACTCCCACAGGCTTGGAGCAACTTGATCTAGTGGGAGGTGTCCATGTCCATGCAAGGGGGTTGGAACTAGGTGACCTTTAACGTCCCTTCCAACCCAAACCATTCCATGATTTTATGATTCTATGATATGACTTCTTCCCCAAAAGAGCTGTCAGGCCCTGGTCCATGCTGCTCAGAGCAGTAGTGAAGTCTCCATCACTGTAGGGGTTTAAAAGCCATGTAGATGTGGTGCTGAGGAACATGGGTTAGTGGTGGCCTTGGCAGGGCTGGGGTAATGGTTGGACGTGAAGATCTTAAAGTTTTTTCCAACCAAAACAATTGTATGATTTTAGGGCTTATTGTAATCCAGACATCACCCATCCAAAGCAAAGCTGTGTCCTTGAGGGAGATGGAGAAATAGTTGGAAATGGGGCAGGACGGGCCGTGACTGTGCCTGACATCTGGAGACAGCCCCTGGGATCCAGCAGTCTGACCCCCTTGACCTGTTCTGAGAGGATGTCTCTCCATGGCCAAGGACCAGGAGAGCCACCAACATCTCCTGATTGGAAGGTAGATACACCCTCCCTCTCTTCCCTGCAAGAAGGCTGGCTGTACCTTGATGGGAAAGCAAGGTGGCTTCTTGGCACAGCTGGTGTCACAGTCCTCCTCGCCTTTGAAGGTGACTATGGCTGGAGTCTCTGGGCTGAAATCCAGATCGTGGTCAATAAACTGGCCCCATTGCATGAACATGAGTGATCTCTGCTGGTCCATCCTCATCTGACTGGTGGGGAAGTGGACGATCTCGTTGGACACTTGTCGAACCTGCAGGGGATGAAGGCAGAACATGTGGGTTAGGAAATGGTTTGTAGTAATGGGTGCATCAGCTCATAAAGTCACCAGCAAAAACCCCCAAGGCATTCCTTGTCCTCCTCAGAAAACCATCACGTGTCTGTCCACCTTGGAAGGTGTTGCTGAGTGTCCCTTTTGCTGAGCACCTCAGTGCTCTGGCTCTAGCCAGGTTTCTGAGCCTCTAGGCCAAGAGCATCTCTTGATGGCCACACACATCCTCATGGACCCTCACACAGATTTTCTAGCTGAATATTTTTTATTCTGGGGAGTCACTTGTTCATTTTAGACTCCGGCCTGTTGTTTCTCAGGAGACAACCAGCTCCCACAAACCAAATTAAAAAAAAGGTAAGTCAGGTTGGCACACTGAATTTAAAAGAATAGAGATTCCTGCTTTATGCCACACTTCTGCAAAAATCAGATTGACTTTCCTTTGCTTTTCCTGAAAGGCTGAGAGTTAGAAAGCATTTCTCTTAGATCACCTGGAGGTTCTCACATACAACCTGAAGCTGGTTAATTTAACTTCCTCCTTCTGATGGTGGTGGGCATGGACCTGTCACCTGTCCAAGCACTGGCAATTCCCTAAAATGGGAATTCAGATGGCTGTTACAGGCATTACCAGTGGAAAGGGGAATCCGTTGACACACTTTTCTTCTGTCCACCCGTGGGGAAGTGACTCCCCATCCTCATACTCTGCTGGCAACCACCTGGCCAGGGCTCTGTTGGAAGATCCTAGTGATGGGTTTCTCCTGTTAGAGTGAAAGGAAGAACAGGAAACTCAGTGTCATTGGCATCATGGGAGGATGTAGCAGGATGCTCCAGCTCAGGGGGCCTGCCTCAGTTTCCCCTTGTGATTCAGTTGCTCTCTGTCTCACAGATTGACAGCCCCTTGGCCTGGAGTGGAAAGATTCCCACGGAAAAGGCCTGAACTGTTAACAAGCTTGAAAGTACAAAGAGAGGCCAAGCTGATGCTCCTAACACCAGCTGCTCTTCTGTGTTGAAGAACACAGAACCCAGCCTGGCTGTGTCTGGGCCCAAACGGAGACAAAACAAGAACAAACAGATAAACAGAAGAGTTTGCTTGGTGAAAAAAAAGTGCCTTCTTGGATGTTTCCACTGTTTTCTTCTGTTCTCCAATGAGAGGAGAGGTGTGGCTAAGTAGTGAAATGACAGCAGCCAGTGACTTGATTCTATACAAGCCTGGGCCTATCTTGGATCAGGGAGACTCCTGAACACTTTCCCAGGAGGTTGCTGGAGCTTCTCCCTTCAGCAGGGACATCTGCTTGAGAGGTCACTCCTCAAGAGGGTAAGAGAAAGGGACACTGGGCTGTGGCCAGATAAAGAACAAGAGAGATCAACACCCTAGATACATCTTCATCAACTGGTTTGAAATATTCAGAAATCTTTCACTGTTAAGTCCTAGAACTTAAGACCTTAAGATCCTTTTAGATAATTGCAATTATTGTATTATCATCTTGCCTAGGGGTTATTCTAATCATTCTTTTAGATCTAGTATAAGACCTACTAATAAGCAAGTCACTAGCATTTAAATTGTTAACCTTTGCCAACTATTAGTTGTGTATTTTATTGATTGCCAAGAGACCTTCCTGTGTCAGTACTTTAACATCCTGCTTTGCTGAACCAATATCCCAACACTCACATAATCTGGTTTGTGCCTTTTTGGTTCAATTTTTAAGACTCTGGTGCTGTTTGCAATAAATCTTTTTTTGTGCATATCCATCTCACCTGCTAATGTGCCCCATTTGGGACACAAGGTCATGGACGTAGGATGGAACCCACAGAGGGAGCTCCCTACCATGGCCAGGGAGCTGCTGAGTTTGTTTGGGGCTGTCAATAAGCCTCAGAATTTATAATAACAACAATAATAACATACACTAAGCCTCAGCTCCTCACAGGCAACCAGGCAGGTTGCTGGTGACTTCTTGTGTCACCTACACCTCAGACCATGGGTAAAAAACAAAGGTGAAGGCTCAACATGAGGGAAAAGGGGGAGAGACTTGTGCCTGTTCACTCAATGGCATCACCAATGATCTTGAACTGAAGTGGGGTGATTTGGATTGTGAGAGCTACTGTGCTGTAATTGCATAAAGTGATCATTATAGCTTGATTAGATTGTTAAAACCTTAATTAGGCTAATAATAAATTGAATTTTGGAGTGCATGTATAAGATGAGTTCTCTGGCTGCCTTGTCATATGCTGCCTAGGGCCAAGCAATGGAGGGACACAGAGGCCAGGGCACTGCAGAGCCCACCTTCTTCTGGGCTTCACGTGTGATTGTACAATCATAGAATGGTTTGGGTTGGAAGGTACCTTAGAGCTCTGCTAGATCCAACCCTCTGCATGGGCAGGGACACCTCCCACCAGCCCAGGTTGCTCCAAGCCCCATCCAACCTGCCCTTCAACACTGCCAGGGATGCCACAGCTCCTCTGGGCAATCTCTTCCAGTGTCTCACTGCCCTCACAGCAAATAATTTCTCCTTAATATATGATTTCAGTTTAAAACCATCCCCACTCATTCTATCACTACATGCCCCTGTAAAAGTCCCTTGTGATGGACCTGTCCTTTTTCCAGAGCCCAGATCTCTCCCCTGAATGAAGTCAATGCTGCCTGAAAATGGAAGGAGACAGGTGGCTCTCCCCCTGTTTCTTCTACAGATACTTGGAGGTTAAGGTATCCCTGAGGCAGAGCTGCCTGAACTCCTTCCTCTGCCCCAGGTGCTCCCAGGAGATGCTCTGCCTACCAGGTAACAGGGGAGGGATGGAGAACCCTCCTATACTGTCCCTTTTAAAACACCCCAGTGTTTAGCACAGCTTTCCTGGTCCCCACATTACAGCCATGTCCCTACATCTGTCCAGCTGTGGGCCAGGCAGGAGCTGATCTCTCTCAGCCCATGTGCCCAGATTTCCTACTACACACAACGGGGGGACAAGGAGATAGCAAAATCATGCCCTGGTATGGGTTTGGGTCAGGAAGCCCTTTGAGACCCTGCAAAAGGCCAAAACCAGACAAAGCCTAGGAGAAAGAAGAAGGAGGCAGCCCGAGGACAGAGACATTGGGCTGGATTGAGGCCCCAGCACATTCTTCCTATTCGCATTTTGCTCAAAGAGCACGGACAGCAGTGAGAGCCCTGCCAGCAAGACTCATTTAAAGCTCCACACATCTAGGGAACAACACCCTGGGGAGTGGAACTCAAAAGAGGGCACCCTACATGGATCATCCCTGGGGATGAGGGTCTAGTTCTACTGCTGGAGGACCTGTCCCCCCCCCTGCTGCTGACACAGCCCCCTCACCTGTTGTTGCACTCGCCGGTGATGGTTCGATAACGTTGAGAAGCGTCGCAATTTATTCTCTTGTCCTGCTGGTCACATCCACTTGCCTTGTAAATCATCCCCAGCTGAGATGGTGTCAGCAAGTCTGGGAGGTACCAACAGAGAACAAACATGCAGGAACATACCAGCTCTGCTGGGTGTGCTGGGCCTCCCAGACCCAGGAAAAGGTTTTTTCCTCCTTGTACCCTTGAAATGGTTTCTTACCCCAGCATCATCTGTGAGACCACACAGTCCTGCCATTTAAGATCTTCCTGCTCAAAGACATGCTCTCTAGAGCAGCAGTTTGGGTTTTAGTTTTTTGCTTGTTTGTTTGGGGTTGTTTTGTTTTGTTTTGTTTTGTTTCAAAAGCATGAAACCCAACAAATTTGTGGTCCAGTCTTATTTGTATTTACATGTTAGGCCTGTGAGGCAGTGAAATTATTTTCTACTGCTAGCAATGCTTTTCCTTCCTCTCCTCTCCCTTTCTATCCCCACTGCTAACAGAATAATTTAATAGAATCACGAAATGTTTTGGGTTGGTTGGGACCCTAAAGATCACCCAGTCCCAACCCCCTGCATGGGCAGGGACACCTCCCACCAGCCCAGGCTGCTCCAAGCCCCATCCAACCTGCCCTTCAACACTGCCAGGGATGGGGCAGCCACAGCTTCCCTGGACAGCCTGGGCCAGGGTCTCACCACCCTCACACTAAAGAATTTATCCTAATGTCTAATCTGAATCTCCACTTTACAGGTTGAAACCATCACCCCTTGTCCCATCACTCCCTGCCCTTGTCAGAAGTCCCTCCCCAGCTTTCCTGTACCCATTTCAGGGACTGGGAGCAGCCAGAAGCTGACAGTCACCATCACAGTATGGTACAAGGTTTTTTTCCCCTCTGAAGCAGCCACCAGTGCATCTCTCTGCTCACAGCTGCCTGGAGAAGAAGCCATCGGGTGGCTGGGCAGCACAGGGAACCTCTGGCTTCACACTGTCACCAACCAGAGTTCCCCTTGCCTGGGAGACTAGTCAGTTCAACCAGCAAAGCCTTCTTGGCTCCTGCTGTGAGCACACCATGTCCAGTGTTCCTTGGAGGTTCCCTAGTCACTGCTGCCACCAGGAGATGGGTCACAGAATGGCTGCAGAGCCCATTGCTGCCTCCTGGGCAGAGGCATCAGAGGTGGCACCCAGCTGGAGTGGTGCTGGAGCATCTCTCCTGGATGGGGAGGAGTCCAGGGCAGGCAGCCCTGGTTCCCTCTTCCTGCACTCCCCAGGCTGGAGCAGTGCTGGAGCAGCCCACGACGTGTGTCCTGGCCTACCAGTGCAATGCTGGGGATCCCCATGAGGTCACTTTTATAAGGCAGGAGCCCTCCAAGTGCCTCCCTCAGCTGCTTCTCTCACAGCCCCTCGTTTGCCTTCAGCTCTCAGCAAACTGACCTCGTCAGGAGGCCAGGACTGCCACCCCATGGACAACACCCTCTTTCCACACACAGGCTGAAATGTCCCTTCACGTTGCTCCCTTCTCATTCTCAATTTGAGCCTTTCTCACAGCATCCCTTTGCCCATGCAGAGCCATGGCAGTGACTTGGACCATTGCCAGCTCAAGTCCAGCAGAAGAACCTCTCACCTTGGGGCTGAGCTGTTGTGTCACATCCTCTGTGTCTGCTCACTCCTGGCTCAAGCCAAAGAGCATTACCTAGCAAAGCCTCACCAGTTTGGACCCATTAACCACTGTACTGCAGGAAGAACCAGGGATGTGCACAGAACACGTCCATCAACTGATAACCCCCCAAATCATCTTCTAAGATGGAAAGAGAGCACAGAAAAATATCTCAGCTTTGCCTCAACTCAGTCATGTGGGAGGGATTTGAGCTGTGGCCCCTCACCAGAGGTGGATGAATCCCCATCCCTGGAGGTGTTTAGGGGATGTATAGATGTGGTGCCTGGGAACATGGTTTAAGCACTGGACTTGGTAGAGTTGGGTTAATGGTTGGTAGACTAAGGTTATGGTTGGACTTGATGATCTTTTCCAACCAGAATGATGCTGTGACTTTGTGCTTCAAACCCCTTTCATTCCCTCCTTCCAAGCCCCACAAAAGCCACAATGACCAAGCCCTGTATCTTCTTCCTCCACTTGCTGCCAGCAAAGTGAGATCCCTACCTGTGACATTGAAGTCCCTCCTCACAACCCATTGCAGCTTCTCCTTAAGGAGCCCCAGGGTGGTTTCCATATAATCTGCAGCTCGAACAGCAGCCCGAGTCCCTCCCAGAGGCTGTTTGAAATATCTCAGAAGCTCTGCTGGGGTCAAAGCATCATTCTGAAGATACTCCTTTATGCTGCAAGGCAGAACAAAACAAGATTGGCAGGTGTGAAATGGGGCAAAGCTGCAAGTACTGCAGGTTTCACACCTAAAAAAAACTGCCTGTGGGCACCACAGCTCCCCTGGCACAAGGAGCCTGCAAAACAGGGATACAAAGGGCAGGCAGGGCAGGCAGTGTGTGTCAGCCCAGCCCAGCCCAGCCCACCCCACCCCGCC